GTCACATGCAAAAGCTTTACGTCCTTCGTGGACTGTATTTTGATGCCTAAACAAATGCGATTTTGATCCAAATTTCTTCTCGCATTTGATGCATGCGTAATCTCTTTGACTTTCATGAACTGTCTTTTTGTGCATAACCAAATTCGATTTTTTTCGAAATACCTTCTCACACTTCTCGCATACGTAATCTTTGAAGACTTTAAAATTTTTCCGTTCTTCGTGTACTGTCTTGATGTGAACGAGCGAATGCAATTTTTTTCTAAAATTTTCTCTGCACTCGACACCTTGAAAGTCTTTGAGACACTCGTGGACTCTTGTGATGTGTGAGAGCAATCTATGTTTAGTATCAAATCTCTTGGCGCACATTTCACATAAGTAATTTTTGAATACTTCATGGAATATTTTTTTGTGTTTCAGTAAAGATGATTTATTTTCAAATTTTTTCTGGCACTTGTCACATGTGAAATCTTTTCGATCTTTGTGTACTAATTTTTGGTGAGTAAACAAACTCGAGTTTTTCACAAATTTCTTTTTGCAGCTGTCGCATGAAAAATCTTTGAGGCTTTTGTGTACTGATATTTGGTGTCTACTCAAATGACTTCGGAACTGAAATGTCTTCTCGCACTTGTCGCAAGTGAAATTTTTTTGTTCATTGTGAATTATGTTTCGGTGTGATATCATGCTTGATTTTAGTGGAAATGTCTCTTGACCAATATCATAAATATATTTTTTGTCGCCTGAAACAACATTGTCTTGTTCACTCAAATTATTTTTCGAGACAACTTCCTCGGATTTTTCCTCATTTTTATTCATTTTATTGCTTAAAATAAACGTTGGATCCTTCGATTTGTTCCACGTAAATTGAACGAGTAAAATTTATCTTTTGGGATATCAGATGGCTTGTTTTATCGAGAAAGACAATTTTCGAACTGATTTGTTTCTACTATAAACATGATCAATGTACTCTGAGAACGATAATAAAGCCGTTTGTAACCATGCTGTTTACAATTAAGTTACTGATTTATTTGTATATAAATTCTCCTTTAAAATTTGAACGAATTTACAATTCTAACTTGGCAATGATTTCTATCAGAAGTTTTTTGGCCACCTACAATTAATTATACTTGAAATAAAATCTTTGTTACATTGAGTTGATAGATCTTCACACAATACATAACGAATTATAAAAAACTTAATATTCATTTTAAAATTTGCTGATTCTACCATGGCGTGGTAGAGGGGCTCTATAATTTGCCACACTCACCCTTATGATACAATAAATTTATTACGCTATTACATTTTGAACCTAAATCAATGTATACGATCATTGTAAGTGTACTTAACTCTAATAATCATTCTTTTTAATTTCTTCGAGATAGATAAAATGACAGTTGATATGAAGAAAAAAGCAGTGTTTTTCATTATTTCGATATTTTCTGAGGATTTATTCCAACCATAATACGGCAATGAGTTCGAAAAATTTTTATGTGGTACAAATTATTCACAAAGACTAAATTATTATCATGATGAATTATTATTATGATAGGTAAATTTCGTGAATTTTATAGATTTCTTTGGTGTTCTTCAAAATCTAAATGATCTTTGTGGACTGTCAAAAATCTGATTTACTTCCAAATTTTCTATCGCACTTGTTGCAATCTTAGCAACAACCTTCATGTACTGTTTTTTGATGTTTTTTTAATTTCTTCGTTCCCTATATTTTTTCCGCACTTGTCACTTGCGGAATCTTTGCAACCCTCGTGAACTGTTTTTTGGTGAAGAAGTAAAGACTCTTTACGTCCAAATTTCTTCTCGCACTTGTCGCATTCAAAATCTTTCCGACCTTCGTGAACGACCTGTTGGTGTCTGAGCAATTGATGTTTATGCCCAAATTTTTTCTCACATTTGTCGCATAAGTAATTTTTGCGACCATCGTGTACTGTTTTTTGGTGGTAAAGCAAAACCGATTTTCGTCCAAATTTCTTTTCGCACCTATCGCATTCAAAATCTTTCCGACCTTCGTGTACTGTCATTTGGTGTCTGAGCAATAGATGTTTATGTCCAAATTTTTTTTCACATTTGTCACATGGGTAATCTTTATGACCTTCATGAACTGTCTTTTGGTGCAGAAGCAAACGAGGTTTTTGACCAAATTTTTTCTCGCACTTGTCGCATGCAAAATCTTTGCGACCTTCGTGGACTATTTTTTGGTGGGAAAGTAAATGGTCTTTACGTCCAAATTTCTTCTCGCACTTGTCGCATTGAAAATCTTTACGACCTTCGTGAACGACCTGTTGGTGTCTGAGGAATAGATGTTTATGCCCAAATTTTTGCTCGCATTCGTCGCATACAAAATCTTTCCGACCTTCATGAACTGCCTGTTGGTGATCGAGCAAACTCTCTTTTCGTCCAAATTTCTTTTCGCACCTGTCACATTCGTAATCTTTGCGACCATCGTGCACTAATTTTTGATGTCTATTTAACTGTCCATTATCCCCAAATTTCTTTTCGCACTTGGCACATGCAAAAGCTTTACGTCCTTCGTGGACTGTATTTTGATGCCTAAACAAATGCGATTTTGATCCAAATTTCTTCTCGCATTTGATGCATGCGTAATCTCTTTGACTTTCATGAACTGTCTTTTTGTGCATAACCAAATTTGATTTTTTTCGAAATACCTTCTCACACTTCTCGCATACGTAATCTTTGAAGACTTTAAAATTTTTCCGTTCTTCGTGTACTGTCTTGATTTGAACGAGCGAATGCAATTTTTTTCTAAAATTTTCTCTGCACTCGACACGTTGAAAGTCTTTGCGACCCTCGTGGACTCTTGTGATGTGTGAGAGCAATCTATGTTTAGTATCAAATCTCTTGGCGCACATTTCACATAAGTAATTTTTGAATACTTCATGGAATATTTTTTTGTGTTTCAGTAAAAATGATTTATTTTCAAATTTTTTCTGGCACTTGTCACATGTGAAATTTTTTCGATCTTTGTGTACTAATTTTTGGTGAGTAAACAAACTCGAGTTTTTCACAAATTTCTTTTTGCAGCTGTCGCATGAAAAATCGTTGTGTCCTTTGTGTTCTGATATTTGATGTCTACTCAAATGACTTCGAAACTGAAATGTCTTCTCGCACTTGTCGCAAGCGAAATTTTTTTGTTGATCGTGAATCGTGTCTTGGTGTGATATCATGCTTGATTTTAGTGGAAATGTCTCTTGACCAATAGCACAAATATATTTTTTGTCGCCTGAAACAACAATGTCTTGTTCACTCAAATTATTTTTTGAGACAACTTCCTCAGATTTTTCCTCATTTTTATTCATTTTAGTTGCTTTTGTTTAGTACCACGGAAATTGAATGAGCAAAGTTTATCTTTTGGCTTGTTTTATCGAGAAAGACAATTTTCGAACTAATTAATTTTTACTGTAACCACGATCAGTGTTCGAAGGACAACGTGGATACTGTCGCATTGTTTACAAGAAAATTACCGATTTAATCCGACAATATATTTTGTTTACAATATTTGAACCAGTTTATAATTCAAACTTGTTGACGATATTTTTGGCCTTCTAAAACTAACTTTCTCACCTTTGGGTCACTGATTTTTACCACAAGTTTTTTGGAGTCTCCAGGAACTTAATAATAAAGCTTTCTATGCTAAGTTTTAATTAATGCGCCTAAGGACCCCTTTTCAAAGGGGTCATCTATTTTATTTAAAAAACTTTGAGATTTTCTGTATCAAGATAGTAGCACTTAAATAAAAAAAATGCATAGTTGAAAAGTTTTGAAATTTTTCAAAGAATCTGTCTGGTTTTTTTCAGAATTTTTCGAATTGTCCTCAGAATTACCACTGACTAGTAGTGTACTGAAAGGAATAGCGGCCGAAGCTCTGGGATTTTTTTGATCTTTCATTTCGAGAAAATGCACACAACAGTCCCTTTTTCAGAGACCCTAATTTGATGCTTTTCTCGCGTACTTCAGAAACCTCTAAATCCTCCTCCTCCTCCGCTTCCCTGCCCAAATCGTGATATAGAAAATCTGCTCCTATCTTTACATAAAAAATCTCAAAGATTTTTAAATAAAATAAAAAACCCCTCTCAAAATGGGCCCCAAGGCCCATTCAATAAAACTAATCATAGTGAGCTTTATTATTAGGTTCGCCCTCCCCGCGTCATGGCGTGATTGGCGTGCTCCATAACTCGTCACTGCTTACCACCGTATCTACAATATAAATACGACAGTTTTCATCCGCACCAACAACGTCATAATAAGTGTCTCTCATGTCTGTATACTTTATTTTCCATTCTATGTATTACGATTTACGGTAAAAAATCGATAATTCCTCTTTCGCAATCATACCATATTTGCCGCTGCCCGCGCATACAGCGATATACGAGCATACGCCTAATACACCGCGTCGAAATGTCGTTCCGCGGAAAAAGATATACAAGTGCACGCGGGAGCTATATAGGCAGGGATCGGGGTGCGGGTATAACGATGAACGAAATCATAATAACGTTATAGTAAATGCTAAATAATAGCGCGGGAAGAAGACGAGAAAAAAACACGATCGGCAAGAATCGATTCTCTTATTTGGGCAGGGGAAGCGGAATAAAAATAGGGAAGTCGATTCCGCGGCGATATAATGTATCCTTCTTTTTTTTTTGTCGTACACCTGAATGAGCGCGATCTCGCCTCACACACACCTTTACAATTCTCGCAGGCACGCGACAATCGCGAGCGCGATTACGCATCGGTCCAGTCTAACGAGATCTCGTGCACGCTCGGACATGCGTAAATAAAAAAAAAAATTGCGCACTCGAAGTCAATGGCACTTTTGTACCCAGCATCTCTCTCTCTGTATGTGTGCGTATAAAAGCCCGCGCGGTCGCGAGAAAAATCGACATTAATCCACTCGATCGCGAAGAGATAACACCCACCCCACCTGTGTGTGCATTATTTTTTTTTTGTATTTCGTCTCGACGGCAAGGACGATGATTCGATACTTGGTGAGAGGACTTTGATTCTTCTTCTTCTTCTTCTTTTTCCTCCGTTTTTTTTTCGTTGCGAATAATTAACTTTTCCAATGTGCGCGCGCGCGCGACCACACGTGACCGCAATAAGAAAGAAGCAGCTTACGCGTACAAAAGTGAAACTCGAATCACGGCGATATTGTATTCCTTTTTTTTTTTTTTTATCGGTATCATCTCACGTATATGCGTGCGCGTGTGGAAAGTCGAGATATTTTTTATTGTTATCATTATTATACGTTGTCATATCGTTCGCAGCTGATACTCGGCTACTGCGGCGGCTTCTTGTGCGCGGAAGCGAACTCGGTCTCGACGACGCTTCAGGCCCCTGCCCCGGCGGCCACCAAGCTACAGGACAGCATCGGCAGCAGCAGCAGTAGCAACGATGCCAAAAGCGTCCAGAGAAAGAGGGGATTATCGAACGACGGATGGGTCGGACTGCCGAGCGCCTACGGCCTGGGACAGCCTTGGGATCAGAGTCCCTGGAAGCCCATCAAGGGCCCGAGTCTGCAGTTCGATACCAGCAGGTAAATCTTATTTCGTTAACTTTTTTTTTTTTTATTTCAAGCAAAAAAATAAATCGAAATTAAATCGATTCTTCCTCTGTCCTCGACGACGATGTCCATATAATATGTAGCTGGCAATACGGCAGCGGTGGCCTCGGTGGTAGCCTCGGTGGTGGCCTCGCTGGCTGGCCTTCGAAGGACATCCCTCGGCAGGTACCCTTGGTGGTGACCAAACACGTACTGGTCGAGAAGCCCGTGACGGTGGAGAAAGTCGTTCACGTGCCCGTCGAGAGGATCGTGCACAAGGCGGTGCCCGTCGGCATACCCGTGCCCCATGTGAGCTTTTTTCCATACATACATTTATGTAACTATATTATATGCATAGTTTAGAGGAATGGCAATTGAGAAACTGAGCACGTATACTTTTTAAGAGTACATTGTGAAATAATTTTCAGTTTTGATGTTTTATTTAGCTTTTTTGGAATGGAGATGAGAAATTCAAATTTGTTGTAAAAAATCCAAAAAAATCAAGTTTTTCGTCAAAGTACTACATTTTGAAAACATGAGTTTTTCCTCATATTCATGAGTTTCTCATCGTACGACAAAGTATGCAAATATAAAAATTGAAAATTCGCCTTCGATCGCCTTTAGATCTATGAAGAATAGAAGTACGAGTGGGCTAAAATGTCAAGGATTATTATTTTCCAGTGTATACTCTTTAAAAGTACATACACTTTGCTTTAATTATCCTCGTTTTTTTCAGCGCCAGGACTCGTTGACGCGATACAAGTCCATTTACAATACTATCTATAACAAGTATAAATACGAGCGATACAAGTGTCAAGTGCCGCGCACTTCCGCGCTCGGCTCGCGCGCGAAAGTGAATTTTTCACCGGAAAGTAAACGTGAATTGTTTCGTGATCGCGCTTCCCCCGCCGCGCGCAGAACTCAAACGGACGAAACGAGTTGGTGATCGCGAGTATAAACAAAAAAAAAACTCGCCCCGCGGAGAGGCCCGACTGGTTTTTTTCCCCCTTTTTTCTAATTTCTCGCTTAAACGGTTCGACAGCACCGAACTGGACCGAATAATTGGATCGAGTCGAGTCGAGGATTGATTTATCTACTCGCGAGATGCTTACGCGTGCCCATACGCGTATGTATTCGATATAATCGAACAATACCTATACACGCCGTGGGTGGACTTGCAAAGTAGTTCGCGGATGTACGCACTGCACGCGTCGAGGGATGCGAAGGCTACAACAGGGTAGTCGATTGAATCACTTGTCTTCTCTCAAAGTCGAATATTGGACGAACATATTACGAAATCCTGAATTTAACAATAGCAATGAATTATTTGTAAATTCAATGAACTAAGATCGCGTTTATTCGTAAGCATCGAGCTCGCACGCGACGGATAATTTTCTAATCGGTCATGAAAATAATTAGCTTACCGAACGGGCCGGTTTGTAGACAAAAATAAATCGTTGAGATTATTCGTATTTCCATAACAAAGTTTGAAATCTATGTTGGTGGTTGATAGAATTTGCTTCTTTTTAGGACCAGGGTTTTGAACTTCAAAAAGCTATCGATACCGGTTCCTCCGCCACTTTTCAGAGATTCTAAACCCAACTTTCTTTTTGTAAAGACTTGACGTTTCGGGATCCGCATGACGCATTTACGTCTATTTAATTTTTTTTTTTTTATGAGAGATTAGAAAATAAGTCGTCACGCGCGAACTCGATGTATAAAAAGACAAATAATAATTTATTGCTATTGTTCAACTTATGATTTCTTACGTTCACCCAACTGGTTCTCGGCGATGATGGCTGCAGAGTCGAGTCAATCGATCGATGTGAAAAGTCGCAAATTATTTTCGATCAAAGCTATTAGAATATTTAATATTCTAATATACAATCATCTATATTGTTGTCGGTTGCAGGCCGTACCGGTGCACATATCGCACGCCGTGCCGCTGCCGATCAGGCACGCCGTACCCGTGCCGTACCACCAGCCGTATCCGGTGCCGGTGAGGCAGCCGATACCCTACGCCGTGCCCGTGCCCATTCCCTATCCGGTGCATCAGAACGGCTATCATCATCAGCTTCGTAATTATCAGAGTCCCCTGGGCGGCGCGGGCCTCTACGCCCCGTACTTGGCTCAACATCATGCGGGAGCCGCCGCTGCTGCGATCAAACACGCTCTGCCCGGCTACCATCAACATCATCATCATCATCAACTGGGGCTGCATCACGCTCCGATTCACGCGGCCAACTTGCACGGCTGGGGTGGTCATCGGCTGGTGCCGCCCCCGGTCTATCTGGGCCACGATTTTAGCGGCGGCCAGCAGCAGCATCATCTTCATTACGGACACCATCATCAGCAACAGCTGCTGCTGCCAGCAGCCCTCCACCATCACCAGCAACATCATCACCTCGGCCACCAGCTCGTCGCCGCGGCCTCGGAGCAGCAGCAGCAACACTATCACGACGACGACGTTGACGCCGACGAAGACGAAGACGATGACAAGAAGAGCAAACGCAGCAACGACAAGTCGACGAGGACCGAGAGCAGCGACGAAAAGAATTAGGATAATTTTGTTTGTTACTACGACGATGTCGTTGCTGTAGTTGTTATTGTTTTGCCTCTTTTTTTTCTCTCGTGTTGATGAAACGTTGCGTCGCGCTCCGATACAATTTTTACTCGTTAACAAATAAAAAGTTGCTTAGCGAGGCGTGTACGTGTGCTCGGACGAAAAATAAGCGGCGCGCGCGCGTTGCGCAATGTAGGTTCAAAATAAACACATAAGGCCGTTTTTTTGTTGTATAAAAAATTGAATTCATTTTCTGCCTCAATTTCATTCTTGAATTATTCCATATGTAGCTCTCTCTCATGATTCATCCTCAATTAATCAATTATTATAGACCAATTGAATTTATTCGTACATCGTACAATATATAGTAATAAGTATGTATGGAGTTGCTTTTTTTTTTCGTTAAAATGTAACATCGTAAACTTCTAAAATAATATGTATACGTATAATAATGTATCGCACAATGCACACGGACAAAAAAAAACAACAAAAAATTGATATGTTCACACAACGAGGTATTCTCGTAAATGTATATAATATAGCTGCTCCGATATTAAATATCGATAAAACACAACGATGACATATTTATATATATATAATGGGCCGGATCGACGCCGTAAATTACACGACAGATACACTGAACCACAGCTGTTGTTGTTTTTTTTTGTTTTTCAACTCAATTTCGTCATTCATCAAATATTTTTTAAAAATATGCATATACATCTTTTTTGTCTATCTAACTTCAAAATATGTTTATAGATTTATATACTTTTTTTTTTATATATTTAATATATGAAACGTAATTTCAGGCGAACTCTCGCAGCCATGAGAGCTGGCATGATAACATTCACTTATAATCGATTAAAAGTCTTGTACAAAAAATATCATTGAGAAGTATATTAGCAATAACGACCTTAAAATACGACGAAATATTGGAGTTGCAGAGAAAAAGTTATAGATTTACAGACACCATTGCACATTTGTTAACTGAAGGCGTTGAATGAGAATTTTTTTTAATTCAACCCTTCCTTACTTTTTCCTAAAAAATAGCGTTCTTCTTCTTCTAGGTTGTTATTTGGTTCCTTTTGCTGTTGAAGCTCTAGCCCTTAGACTTTTTCTTCTAGCTTGATCTGAGTCAGCATCATCATCTTCGGAGCTGGCAGCTTTCTTGATCACTGTTGTAATAAATTAATAATTAAAATTTTATACATTTTTATTCTAAACAAAATAACATTTATTTTCACGGAAAAATCATACCTTCTTTCTTCTTGGGTTTTTGCTTGACAACTTTGGGTTTTGTCACTGGAACTTCAATTTCACCAAAACGCTTCTTTTCAAATTTATAGAAAGTGTAAATCATGTAGATTTGGAAGAATGCAACTATGAAACTGACTGCAATTCTGAGTGGAGCAATGTTGAAGTTGCCTTCGGCAATGTTGAATTCACCTTTAGCTCCTCCCAAGTGAGCAATGAAGTAGAATCCAGCAAGGAAGCTAATTATGAGGCGAGCAGCAAGGAAAACACATTTGGAACACGTGTATGTTACTGAGAAAAATAAAAATTATTGTTAAAATCATTTGTTATAAGTTACTAAGCTATTAAAGTATGTTAACTTACAATTGGCAACTGAGTCCTTTCTATCAGAGAAATGAACTAATTTAGAGTAATGAAGTAAAGCTTCGCTGGCATAATGAGCAGTCAACAGCATCACTCCAATCTGTTGGAAGCTGAAGAGATAAAATAAATAAATTATTTAAGACATTTTTTTTAAGTAAAATTTTAATTTAATGTAACTCGGGTACTTACTTCATAATGTAAGCAGCCAGAACAAAAATGAGACCAAGAGTAGCAAGATAGATTTTTCGTGGCATCTCTTCTTTTTTGGCTCTTTGGAAGTAAAGTTCTGGGTAGCAGTGCAACCAATAAGCCAATTGTCCAATGAAATATAATTTCAATGAAAACGACATGGGGATTGGGTATACGTTATCAACCATGATCGACCACAGATTATCTCTGTAAATGATATCGCATCCCCAAATGAAAGAGATAGCGTAAAACACTAAAAGTTGATTGGATTCATTGAACTTTGACATTTTGCTTTTGCTCAGACGGTAGCGCTTGCACAATTTCTAATAAAGAATATTAAAACAAGGTTAAATCCATACAACTTATATTCAGAAAATATTCAACAACTGACTTACATCAAAAATGTACTCCTGAATCACTGCGTGCATGACAATAGTGATGAGGAAGTAGAAAAACACAACGCAGGCATCTTTCCAGCCGGTGGTGTACTTGATAGGCTGAGGTGGCAGACTGCCATCGTCGTTGATCACGGAGGATACATTATGATTGAGAGCGATGAAAGTGTATGCCCATGGGGAAGTCACCTGTGGAAGGGCACAAACGAGACATTTTAATTCATCGATTCGCAATCACGAGTGCAGGCTGCGAGTCGTGCCAGATGCTTCATGCAGCATGCATATAGTTCACGAGTACCACCCCCCACTCAACATATGGTACGGAGCGTCAACAGTGAAAAAGACGAAAAATACCCGGATTTCTAACAGAAATTCGCGTCGCCACGTTCATCTCGGGGTGGTCGGTGCTTCCTTGCGGCAGGTGTCGACGCGAAACTCGATCGCCTCGACGACCTATCAGAGATAATCGTGGCACAAAGTGTCTCTCTCTCTCTCTCTGCACACATGACGCGCGCTATATACTCGGTCGAGCGTGTGTGCTGGTGGTTATACATCTGTTTGAAAATTTACACAAACGCGAGGAAGCACACAAACTGGCCGTGAACGCGAAAAAGGATAATAGCAAAAACACAATAACCGTGACCAAAGTCAAGTTGGGGGGTCACTCCGTACGACATATGGAAGCGCGCAAGGTCGTATCTTCGTTATCGTATTACCTGGACCATGAGGCCGACGACGAAGACCATGGCGACGCAGGACACGATGTCGGCGTGATTCTGAATGACGAACTCATGGCTGAGTATCGGCGGATTCTTGCTGGAGGTCTTGCGGCCCTTGATAGCGACCATGTTGACGAAAAAAAGCCTGTGCAGTGAGCCCTGGTGCTGTTTTCACGCTCGGCGCGTGTGTCGTATGTCACGGCTGCAGCAGCAGTCTCGCTCGCACCGCGATCGACGGACGACGACGCAAGAAAAAAAGAGAAGAGCTCGGCGGCGACGGCGGCGGCGGCGATGCGTGTGTTTATATATTACACGGAGATCGAACGCGGAATCAAACACGTCGACGACTGCGGAGCAGTGTAAGCGAGGCGGCCGCGAGACTATACTGTATAAAATCGCTGATATATACGACACTATATAATCGCAAGCACAACCGCGAAGATATATAGGTATATCTATAACGTGTATTTGATGTAGTACCTCTGTCTCGCTCGCACGCATATAGGTGCGTGGATATTGTGGCCCCCTCCGATTTTTGCGCACCTGTGCGGGCGCAACAAGCTTATGAACCTCTGTATTATGCTGGTAGTCAGCAGAAAACGTAAACAGAGCGAATCAAGGGCTCTGCCTATGCCAGCCTGTGTACCATTGTTATTATCGACGCGTACGTTATGCACGCAGGTGGCCCTCGTTAGGCTTTGTTTATGTTTTCCGATGGGAAACGAGTCGCGTTTTACACCTGGTATGTTTCGTATATCCGATTAACTTGGCAATCTGACGCTAGATGTCGTGGTACCAGTTCCCGCAAGTGGTAAAATTTCAATCAGTGAGATATATAAGCCAGATTTTTGAAGTAACTTTCGAAATTCCTCGACATACCATACACTGTAGGTACTGTCAGCACCCAACCCAAAAGGTCAATGCCCAATGTCTTTGCTTCAGGATATTTACCTGAAGAACTCTCAGCTATCAGTATTCTCATCAATTAAGCAGTGGGATTATTCGACGGAATTTCGCTATTGCCATCGAACTTCGTGGCTTAGATTTATGCCTACTAAAGCAGTAATCGTTTTTTTTTTCAAATTCATTCAAGTATCGGCCTTTGTAGTATGCATACGAGCTTTTACAATAGTCTTTTTGCGACTTTATAATGCGCCACCTGGCCGAAGTTTGGGAAAACACTTTTAAAATTTTATCCCGTTATCGATTGTCATAACTCATAATTGACTTACTATACTGAACCGCGAATTCTTCGACGTGCGTATAAAGGCATTGTTCACACAAGCAGCATATACGGTCGGAGTCGCATATATAGTGACAGTCATTTCTACCACTTTTGTGAACGCACCGACTGCATCGATTGAGCACTGCAGTCGTTCAGCCGTCATGCGCACACTTTGTCAGTACTCAGTTTCGTATATACTCGAGCCCAACACGTGCGACAGTCATACGGTGGCGTTTTCATATACCGGCTTAGCAACTTCCAAGTTCGAATTTTTTAATTTTTAAGTTCTTAAGTAATTGTAAAAAATAAATAATTGATATCAAAATGACGATTGGATTCGAGATCGTCGTTGGTACCTACGAACAGTTCGTCGTAGGTTACAAAGTTACAGAAGCGAATGATGTAAGTACAATGCGAAGGAAAAAGAAAACAAATTTTCTGCTAACTGTACAGGTTATGTTGTTCTCCCATTGTTAAAATTCTCATTTATTAATTCTTAATTTTTTTTTTTTTCATTAGAAATACAACGTTAAGTCGAGTTTTGCAAGTCATGCACATTTGTCCAGTGTAAGAAGTGTAGCTTCTAGAAGACACTACTTGGCTTCTGCCGGAGCTGACGATTGCATTTCTTTATTTGACATGCGTTCAAGAATTCAAAGTGGCAGACTTGTTCATCATGACAGTAAGTTATTTCTTGATAAATTATTTAGCATTACTCTATAAAACCATATTTTGCATTAACCAAAATTCTCTATAATTTTTAGACACTATCAATAGCATAGAATTCACTCCTGATGGCAGCCACTTGATATCGACCAGCAGTGATGGATCAATAGCTATTGTGAGATGCGGCAATTGGCAGCTAGAAAAACTCTTTAATAAGCCACACAAAGGTGAAGCAGTCGATCTTTTGGCCATACATCCATCTGGTAAAATTTGCCTGACAACTGGTCGTGATGGAGTTCTCAGAACATGGAATTTGGTAAAAGGCAGACAAGCTTACGCCACTAATTTAGTAACTAGATGGAAAATGGATGCTAAATATATGAGTGTTTTAAAATGGAGTCCTAGTGGTGACACATATTTGATAGCTGGCAACAACAAACTTGAAGTATACACAGTTGAAACTGCTGGTATCAAACAGGACTTTGTATTCGAATCTAAAGTTGTGTGTGTTGAATATTTAGATGAAGAATTTGTGGCTGTTGGTCTAGAAGATGGTAAGATAAGTATTCTTAATATAGAGACTGGTTCACTTGTTAATGAATTAAAAGCTCATGAGTTACGAGTCAAATGTATGGCAAGACATGAGAACATATTAGTTTCTGCATCAAGTTCAGGAGAAATAAAGTTGTGGGCCTTTGAAAAAGATGATTTGAAATATTTAAATACAGCAAAATGTGATGGCAGAATTACATGTATAACGATTATACCTCAATCTAAATCAGATAAACTCAAAGAAGAAGAAAATGTCAAAACAACAAAAAAGACATCGGTTACATTTTCAAATAAAGACGAAGATACAGAAGAAGAGGAAATGAATGAAGAAGAAGAGCAAGTCGAAGACACAGAAGAAGAAGAAATGGATGAACAAGAAGAGCAAGTCGAAAACACAGAAGAAGAAGAAATGAATGAACAAGAAGAGCAAATTGAAGACACAGAAGAAGAACAAATGGATGAACAAGAAGAGCAAGTAGAAGAGGAAGAAAAGGAGGAAGAAATAGAAGTTAAAAAAATAAAAAAAAACAAGAAAGTTAAGAAAGTTAAGAAAATAAATCAAGTTGAAAAAGTTCAAGAAAATCAAAAAGGAGAAAAAAAAATTAAAAAAGTACAAAGCGTACAGAGCGATGAAAAATATGAAAAATTAGCAAATCGTCTCGCACAGATGAATGAAGAACTTGGAAAATTAGTTAAGATTGTTGTGTAAGTATCTAGCAATTTTAACAAATCGTTTTTAACAATTTGTAAAAAGAAGGGATCTTTAATGAAATTTATTAATCTTTTACAGTGAAAAGAAAAAGAAGCGACTTGGCAAAGATATGGATAAACCATTGGTGCAGAAAAAAGCCAAAAATCAAAAGCACGAATCAAAGCAAGAAATTCCAATCAATCGACGAAGTAAAAAGGCGATGAAAGCTGATCGTAATCGTACATGAGAGTATACGTGTATATTGAAAAAAAAATTGTGTTTGTAAATATATTTTTATTTTATTGATACAAATTTGAGATTAGTTACTTCATTAAAATCGTTACTACTCGATACCGTGAATTTTAATTATTTGGCCGTACGAGACGCATCTCGGTTTTGGATACGAAAAATTTCGTTTTTTACAAAGTCACAAGTAACAACCAATTATTATTTTTTCTTTTACTTTTTTTTCAATGAACACCTAAGGTGAGAATTGAAATTCGTTTAGAATGGATAAATAATAATTAATAAACGAGCCAATCTCTCGGATTATCGATGGTAACGCGATCGATCTGCTCCTGGCTCATGCCCTTGATCAGCATCTGCGGTATCACGTTGTTGATTATGTGCGAGTAGCCGTGTCCACCGTAGCGCATCTATTTTTCATACACACATTAATAACGATGAAACTTGCACATAATGGAATATAAAATTTACCGTTCGATGCTTGGTGTGTATGTCGTGGCTGATTAGCACGCGATCGAGTCGGCCCTCGGCGGCCAGCAGTTTCACGCGGTCGATGCGCTGGGCGTCGCTGGGCATGTCGGTCTCCGGGTGCAGCTGATAGTACGACACCTCCAGGCCGAACAGATCCTGCTGGCAGTAGCAGCCGAGCTCGGCGAACTCCAGCAGGTCCTCGCTTCTGGTCAGGGTGCGATCGAGGTGCGACATGACGGCCTTGTCGGCGCGACCCCCTGCCTCCAGATAGACGCGCATTATCTCGAAGGGCGCGCGTTTGTCGCGGCCCGGATGGAAGCTCACCGGGCAGCCGAGCTCGGCCTGCAGCCGGGCCGTGGCCCTGATCGCTCGGCGCTCGTAGTCCTCGATCGGCCAGGCGCTCCCCACCTCGCCGATGAAGCCCGCCTTGCACGGTAGAACGCTCAGGTCGAGATCGCGACAACCGATCGTCAGCTCCTCCAGCATCAGGTCGTACATGGCCTCCTCGCTCGTGGTCCTCGAGCTGTCCCCGGGCGCCGTCAGAGCCACGTAGAAGCCGGTGCCGGCCACGACGTGGACGCCGCTGGCGCGCGAGCAGCGCTGCATGAGGCCCAGCTGGCGATTCAGGCCCTGGCTCGAGTTCTCGCAGATGGTGCCGCCGCCGCTGGCGCCGTAGAACTGCACGTCCTCGAGCACGGCCGAGGCGCTCTCGGCGTCGTCGAAGCGCAGATTGTACCTGTTGCCGTGACTGCAGCCGAATACAAAGGCGACCAGAGCGATTATTTGATGATTGCGACCTATGTAATTGGCGCACTTACGGATGCTGCCTGAGAACTCCGACGTTGTCCAGACCGATCGAGCCGTTCAGGAATTTTTCCAGCCTCGGCGGCGGCGGCAGGTAGAACTTTTCAAAGTTCAGGGCCAGATGCTCGTGCGTCAGGGTGCGGCCCAGCTTCGACGCCGCCACCGGCCCCAAGACTGCATCGTTATAATAATAAGCTCGTATATGTTATGAAAATTAAATGGGATCGTCGCGCGATTTGGCTCACCTGTCTCCACGTATTTTTCGGAGCTCATAATTTTACACTGCAAAGTGTCTCAAATGTGTGTATTATCTCTCTATTGCGAGCGAGTATTTACCAGCGACTGAACGAGAGACGAAGAAGAAGAAGAAGAAGAAGAGGAGGAGGAGGAAGACGCGGTACGAGCGATGCGTTTTATCAATTTTTCTCGAGTGCCGCGAGGGATTGGCATATTGGGCAAACAATGTGTAAATTGCTACTTCGCTCGAGATAAAGTAAAAATTGCAGCGCGTTGTTGTATGTACTTCTTATATACGATTGTGCTGAAATGAGGTGGAGCATTGGAAAATCTCGTGATCATCGTTGATAAGTTTTGGTTTTTTTTTCTTTCTTTTATTTTACATTCATTTTACAGGTATAACACCTCTTTACAAGAATATAATTACGCGCGTTGCGTGTTCTTTTTTTTTTGTCCTTTTTTTACCTGTTCTTCTTGTATTTTTTTTTTTTGTCATTTCGCGTTTATTGTAAACTTTAATTGATTTTTTTTCCTCTTCTAACATGATAATTATTCGTATTCGATAAACATATAATATCTTCCAACGGAGAATAGACAAAGTCCAGTGGCAGTAATACTTGGCTACACGCTAACATGAAAGGAGTCGATTGGAGAGATGCGATAATTTGAGATAGTACTAGAGAAAAATATCGATTATTGTTGTTTTTTTTTTCGTTTTTTTTTTTAAATATTATTAATTAGCATCATTTTCCATACGAGTTTCATTGCATCGTTTTGTAATCCCAACAGAGACGAAAAAAAAGAGATGTGTGCACTTGAATGCATTGTCGAAACACGATGAACTCGTTCTGGCTAAATCGTAAGCCGTTGTGCTTCATTCGCGATTAATATTTCATTTCGTGATTTAATTTACTGCGTTGTACCAGTTTTCGTATGGACATTTGTATGAATGAATTACGTACTTTTCGACCGTGGTCATAATAGACGCGTCAGCCAACGATTTTCAGCAACAATTAAAAGTCTTGACTTTTTTTTCTGTTAAATAATGAGTTCTTCAACAATTCAAGAATTTTTTTTTTGACTTTAAAATACAGATTGTTCAACTGCTTCAATCATGCCCTAAATATTGATATTTTGTATAATTTCTATGATTCAATTGAGTACATCAAGCGTACGAAAGAAGTCTGCGTTTTTTTTTATTATTTCATTAAATTCCAAATACAATATGTACAAAAAAAGAAAAAAACATGCACGGCGTCTCGATCGTTCAAGAGGAACTAAAACAACATTGATACGCGCACACCTTTTGTCTCTCACACCCCTCTTCACGCATTCTCTACATTGTAGGCTTTTTTTGTTCTAAAAAATCATAAGAATGATTTTTTATGTAGCGCATTATTCTAAGTTGTGATAAATTGCTTCACAATTAAGTCCAATATAAGACTTGGTCGAATTTTCGCTTTAATGCGAAGAATTGCATGATGGTCTTCAGCCTCTTCTAATAAATTTGGCTAAATATTTCGCACGAAATCTATCCATACACCTAGAGGACAAAATTAAAAGTCCGATAAACACTCTTTCACAACTTGAACTAATATATTCAGTTTACCAATTACAAAGATAATAATGTACATTTACACAAAAAAAAACTGTTGCTCACTTCACTGCATAATTGAATCAGCTAGAACTCAACTAATTTCATCTTTTTCTTCTTACTCATTTAGAGCGTTCCGTTTTTTTCTCATCATTCGACGAAGGTTTGTCTGAATAACAAAACAGTAAACAATATAAAAAAGAACTCAAACATCAATCACACGTTATATTTCCGTGTACCGTTCTTATTCCATTTGAACAAGGCATTGTACGGTAATTTATAATTGCTATGCTATCTTAAACAAGCAACTTTTCCAAGCCACTCAAGATGCAATTGTTTTTCAATACTAGTGATTTTTAAAGATATTGTTGTTCTAAAAAAGTTTGAGAATCTTGAGTTAATGATTCTTTTTCATGGTTGTCTTTGACAACCATACACTAGCATGGTAGATCATTACAAATGAAGATGGCATTCGTATCACTCAATAGTTTCATAATTTTGAATATTCCAAAGCTTCATAAACTGTCGTCGCTGTCTTCTCCGTTGGCTTCAATTGTCATGTTACTAACTGTAACACTACTGAGTTCACCACTTTGTTCAATACTTATATCTTGTTCGCCTCCGGTAGTGTTAGTTGGATCATCTAAAACAATAGTTTATCCGTTTTTATCCAATCCGAGTAGAAAAAAAATCACTAAAAAAATCAGATAAAAAATTTACACCAACCTGACTGTGTTATAATTGATTCGTCTTCGTTCTGTCCTGGGCCAAGAATAGCTTCTTTTATTTGACTATTGACTCCTTTTGGGTCCAAGTCAGTGGCCCAACTGAAGTACATTAACGCAAGATGAGTGTTGCCTAATTTTTTATGAATCTGAGAAATTTAAATAAAATTCAGTCAGCAAAAAAGTTGATAATAAAAATTTTAAATTATTCATGTCAAATTGATATCCTACTTTTCCTATAGAATAATAGACTAGTGACTCTTTGGGTACGATATTTTTAAGTTCTTCAAATTCACTTAAAGCTTCGGCATTTCTACCAATAGAGAAGTTAATGCTTGCTCTATGAAATTTACAAAGGGTATTGTCAGGGTCATCTTCGATAGCTTTATTCAGTGTTTTTAGAGCTTGGTCCACCTTTTTCAAGGCATGTTGAACAACTCCTATGTGACACATTATCGCAGAGTTGTGCGGATTAATAGCAAGTGCTCTTTTGAAGTGTAATTCTGCTAAACTGTATTGTTCTTGTTTCGAAAAAATTGTGCCTAATCCAAACCTATGATCGAAAATATTATCATCATGATTTTTCTATAATTATCATAAAATTTGTTCAGCCGAGATATGCTTACCATGCATTATAATGACGAGGATCTAGTCTGATGGCGTTTCTAAATGCCGTTATAGCTTTATCCAATTCTTCTGTTATGACATATTCGTGTCCAAGCAGTGTGTATGCGTAGGGGAAAGTTGGACTGACTTGAATAGCTCTTTGAAAGAATTTTATAGCAGTCTCGTGTTCGGTTTGTGCCGAGAATAAGTTTCCCGTTGCGCACCACGCGGCGGGCGAATTCCTGTCTTCCGCGACCAAATCTTGCGCCAAGGTCGAGAGCTGCACTTCGGCATGTAAATGCCATAGCACTGTACTGTATATTTCCATTAGATCCGTTCGATCAGGCTCTAGAGTTCTGACTTGTGCGAAATAACTGGCTGCCTTCTTATAGTCGATCATTTCAAAGTGAGCTTTAGCTAACATGGACAGGACCCAGCCTGTATTGTAATGATGCCCAGGCAGCACAGTTAATATTTCAACAGCTTGCATGCAATTGAATTCACACAAGTGTTTGTATGCCATACCTAACTGTCTTAATAAGGACATAAGACCTTCTGCAAAGGTAAAACGTAAAAAAGCATTTAATAATCTGAGTTAATGATAGAGCAAGTCAAAGAAAAATTCAAATTTACCAGCTGAAGTTTTTTGGATCGTTATGGGACTTGAATATGATGAAGTATTATTTTGATTGAGAGCATTAGTATTTGCTACAACTTTTTCCGACGTGATCGTTTCACTTTTTTCCTTTTCATTTTTATTCTTTTCATTCATGTCAGCACAGTTTGATTTGTTAAGATTGGTTTTTGACAGTCTTGTTTTCGTTTTGCGAGATGGTGATTTTGGAGTCACAAATTTACTTCGATTTGGAGATTTGTTATTTTCCTATAGAATTCAAAACAATCCAATGAATAAAAAAATGTTATATATGGTAGCAATGTAAGACTATATTGGAATTCAAAAACTTACTTTAACAGAGTAACTATGACTAGTAAACAGCCTTGACGATCTTCTAACATTGGGTCCTTGAAGCGTAGGTTGCGTTTGCACAGGAGTTGCTGGAGTAATAGCTACAATGTTAGCAGAGTTACCTGTGTTACCTGACTGTGAAAAAACTAATTTTCCTTGCTGCAATGGTGTTTCTTTTCTTGACAATAACTGTAATTAAGAAATATAATATAAATCAATGGACTAAAAAAAACTTTGTTTTTGTTACTTACTCGTTTTGCTAGATTTTTTTGTTCATTTGCCTCTGTTAATAATGAATGTGAAGACGGAGGTTCAGGTGTATTTATGTCTAAAGGTAAAATTCCAAAACTTGGGGTCAAAGGGCTCATGGAGTTACTAAACATACTTCTATACCGGGGTAGCTTTGCATATGGAGATACAGTAGAGCAAGTGTTATAATGGCTTGAAATATTTTGTGGACTCTCTTCAATAGATGAGTGAATTCTTGAGTTAGGTAAACCATTTGTTCCCTGAGTTGGTGTACTGAATTAAAATCATTGATATTATATGATTTGCCAAAGAATTGTAGGATTAAGATGTTGCAGTTGTAATTAAGATACTTACATATTGTTACATATATTAGGAGTAGGTGTATTTGGAGTATTATTATTGCTTGGTATTATCAGATCAGACTGCTCTTGCATGCAGTATGAAACAGGAGCAGAGCCAATACATGTAGATAAACTATCTAACTTATCTAATTGAAATACTTTACTTGCATCTACTTTTTCACCAGTATTACACAACTCTTCAAAAGAATGCCACAGAAAAGGATTGAGTTTCAAGGCCAGTTTATGAGCCTCGTTACCCTTAGCAGTCCTGGTCATTTTATAGTAAATTTTGGCTAAAATCTGCAGTGAGAAACAAGCTTCATCACCAAATTGATTAATAATCTCATCAAAATTTTTCAATTGCTTGTAGTAGCCGCCGATGATGGCGGCCTCAGCTTCTGCATACTTTTCCAAATCGTAACAACACTTTGCCAGTAAGAATCTACACTGCGGCGAGCTAAGAGATCTTTTTGACAGCAATCCTTGAGCCTGTCTGATTCTTCCCGAACGGTAGTAGCAGGTGGCAAGCAGAAACAGCGTTTCTTCATTTTCCACTGAAAACCACATGAGTAGGTCAAAAGAGTTTTCAATGAAGTTTTTACGGGCTCATTGTAAAGTCTCGAAAGCTTACCTTCTGCAAATAGCCTCTCAGCCAGAAAAATTGCATCCGGATAAGCATAGTGGTTCAAGCAGTGCCATATGGCTGCCTAAAAGTAAATAATTCTTAGTCAATATTTTTCCATGATTTGTAGAGGCTTTTAAAGTCAGCGTGAGCAAACAATGTATAAATTAACCCAATTATCGAGCAATTTCATCGAAGCATCGACCAAGCTAGATGCACGAGTTATGAAAATTTAATCGCGAATCGGGAGCGCGAACAGCGAGACAGTCAATACATAGTCGCATCTAGTTGCAATCGAGCCGAGCATATTAAGTATGGAAGAAAAAAAAACAATAATAATGAAACATTGTAGAGCAGGGCATAGATCATTGAGCGAAGTTGACATTGACAGAGAGTTCCTCGAGTATTTCAACAACGAAGCCTGTAATACTCGACTTCTGCGCGACGAACACAAATATACATCGGGAGCAAAAACAGTCTCTCTGGGTAATCGCTCGTTGCTCCCTTTGCAACATCGTCTTTGCGCCGAGATAGAAAATGTATCATAATACGTTGCTGCTGCTGCTGTGCATGCCATCGCGGTCGACTCATTATTTTCTGTCTGCTGAGGAGCAGCAGCAGAGAGTCCGAAAGGGAAAAAAACTCCGATACAATTGGCATTGCCGTGTATGTAACGCAGTTGCAGTTTTTGCAATAAATAACGCGGCCGCGATGCGTCAGATGCACCTCGTCGTTCATATAGTAAGTAGACGAATGCAACGTACTCTTTCACACACACACACAAACGCGCGCGCATTCACACACAGTCGCAGAGAGACGGACACACATTATTAGCGCATGCAAGAAGAGACACAGGGTGTACGCAAAGCTGTATATATTTATTATCGTACGACGCGATGCGACGACGATGATCGACGCGTACCTGAACGGGTTCCTGGACGATCATCCTTGCGGCTGGTTGCCCGGACTCCAAATCCGTATAGCGAGGAGTGGCTCTCCCGTTGGTGGTAATATGGTATATAGGCCCCTTGCTGTGTTGTGCAGCAGCACAACTGACACTCCGTGCTGCTGCTGCTGCTGCTGACTCTCTTTGCTCCCGTCCGCTCCGCGCCGAGCGTGTGTGCGTGCGCCGTGAATGCGTCTCTCCTCGATCTCTCTCTCTCTCTCTCCGAGAGCGAACGTATATCGCTATATATGCGCGTATGTGTGTGTATCTGTGTTGACAAAAGTCGTACTCGAACTGCACTGACTCGCTAACGCGTATTCTTGGTTTCTCGTCGATAACCCAAGTAACCACCGAGACGTGCGCGTTCGCGTGGTGCTGCTACACAACGATGAAAACTGCCGTGCAGTGTAGCAGCATCGAACACTGATCGTCGCACGATGATGCGAACGGAGCACTGAGCACGTATCTACACACGAAACTGCCCCCTCGATATATCGTATATAATATAGGCGTGCGCTCGACTCTCCGATGGCACTGTTGTTCTTTTTCTTATTGTTTTTTTTTTTTTTTTCGTTGGTCCCTCTTCAGCAACAACGATGAACCACGACGACCAAACAATTCGCGCACATTTGTCGTACACGCATGTATATATTATGATATATAAGATATAATATATATCGTAAATTAAAAGGGGGAGCAAGAATCAAGCTCTCCCTCAAGAGTCCATCTTGAGGATAGGTTTGCTGCTCTCTTTATAATACACACGCACACACACACACTCTGCGCCTCTCGTCGCGTAATGTATGTGCTGCTGTTGCTGCTGCCTGCTACTTCTCGCCAATCCTCCTCGTATACTCCCGTGTGCGGAGCTGCACGAGCAACAATACGCGCAGGCCTCGGTATCGATACATATACATCTACATACAAGCACCTATACATATGTACGTGCAAGCTTCTCGTATAATGCACCAAACAATCGCAACAATCGAGACTTCGACCGGTCGAACGAGGCGAGTTCAATGTCTGCCAACTGCCCAATGAGCTGCGCGTTAATGCACGGGCCCAACACCGCACAAGAGAAGAATAAGTATTTTAAAGTGTTACGAGCTCCATAATAATAATGTATGGGTACAAATTCGAGAATCGAGACTCGAGACATTACCATATCGCTTGCGAGACGTTTTTTAAATCGGTGCGATATTGGCAGTATTGAGGATTGCGCTCGACGACCGACACTCGCGCGCGCAGCTTTTGCGGAGTTCATTGCGTCGGCGCGCACGAGACGACGATATAATCATAATAACGAGTTTGTTTTGGTTTGTTGTCGTCGTCCGCCGCGGCACATGCCATTTATTATAAGCCCGTTTTCGACCGTCTGGTGCAGCGCGAGTGCGGGACTCGGTGGTGCAATTTCAATTTTTCTACTGTGTTCGGATTCTGCGTTTTTCCGTTAAAAAAATGTCGGTTCACGATCTCAGAAGGCAGATGACCCTGCTGAAATTTCCATACGACGCGAGAGAGGCACTGAATCGACTAGGTACGCACACTACACTTCAAACGCTTTACAATTGTTTACGTCAGAGACTCGCGAATTTTTAACCGACGACGATGCACGCTCTTTTGCAGAGGTCTTGTTCTCCAAGCCGGCCAAGCAGATCGATCTGCAGGAGGAGCTCATCTCGCACTACGTCTTCGGCGAGATCGACCGATTGCAAAAATCGAAGAAGCCCCACGCCATGAAGGAGCTGCAGCTGATCGACACGCTCTGCGACTTCTTTCGCAGCCCCGGCGGCAATCCGGCGATGCGCAACGCGGTCTTTCTCTCCCTGTTCCCGGCCCACAATCCCCGGCTGAAGACTCTGGGCCTGCTGATATCCTACTGCATCTCGATGAACAACGATCCCACTCTCAGCGCGGCCGGCATCTGGCTCCAACAGATGGGACCCACCACGCTGGAGAGCGTACGACTGGCCGAGCATCTGTACAGCGACTTCTTCGTGTGTTTACCCAATGCCCGGAAGGTCCTGATAGACCTGCCCGTGCGAGTTCCTCATTTCACCGCAAATCTGTTGACTGCTTTTGGAGAATTGTACAGTGAAACCAAGCCCCCGCTCGCGTTGGTAAAGATCGTTGGTCAGTGGATCAAAGATAATCCCAATATATTGTTGTTACCCCTGACAGAAACTCCTGCTTTGCCTAGCGGATGTATACCAATGACACCTGTGACACCGATAGCAGGATTATTTAGGTAATATCTTGTTTTTTTTTTATCATTAAAGTCATGTCAGAATAATATATTTTTACACAAATTACTAATTTTATAATTTAGGTGGTCTATTTTGCATCCAATAAGAGATTCCGATGAAGAATCGGATGCCGAAGAAATTACCAAGTGCTACAATGCAATTCAGCAAATGTTAATGGACGCTGTCTTGAAGTTGAAAAAAATCAATTGTGGAAATGCCATTTCTGCTCAACATTTGGCGGCAACGATTCGCACAGCCAATTCAATATTACAAAAAAGACCTGAAACTGATGAATCTTTAAAGCAAGTGTCTCTGGAAAGGCTTGGACAGTCGATTAGCACGGCATTGTCTGTCAAATGTATATATGGAAACATACGTAAGAATCATTTGAAATTTTAATTTTTCTATGATATAAAAGCATATTTTATTGATAAAAATGTTTGCAGAGGAACTCTTAGCTCTCCTACAGCCATTATCACATCAACATTTTTTAATAGAATGGACTTTGCAGACATATGGACCAGAAACTTCTTAAAAAATAAGTTATACTTATATATTGTTGATATTGTACAGAAAATTATTATAAGAAAAAATCAATATTACTATGTAATTTATACTTTAATTGCAATGACTTTTTTACATAAAATTAATTTTATTTTAAAAATCTTGAATTCATTCTCTCAAATATATATTTCATTTCAGTTCTCTGTTTCTTTTTTCATGACATTTTCACGTTGATCAGCAATTATTCATTATGTGGATTACAATATGTAATGAAGAAAATTGATCGCTGATTTTTACAAAGAGTGATCTTGGGTACTTCTGTTCATTATAAATTGAACTATTTTTCGATTTTAGGGCTAGCTGAAGAGCCATTCATAAGTTATCGTAAAATATACCAAACAATAATTGAACCAATTGAACGAGCACCTCTCATGACACTAGAAATTTTAATCAATATCTCTTCCGTAATGGCTAACAGCAGATTCAACGCTATTGTTATTTTTCTTCATTTTTTGCAAAGTGTAAAATAAAATAATTGAAGAAATAACTAAAGAAATATATTTGTAAACAAACACCTCTTTAGTACTAGTTATCTTACTTAAAACTGAAAGTTTTCAATTGAGAAGTATAAGTGAATCTAGAATTTTATACTTTCAGAAAAGTTACATTGCTTTTCAATTTCAAGAAACTTCATTAAATAAACAATAAAAAATTAATAATTGATACTCTTTTCATTTTAACAAAATTGTGATTCAATTGAAAAAATTCTGATTGGCTGTCAAAAACATAAAAATAAAAGACAAAAGATAGAATATTACTATGTGAAGGATAATTGAATCAAAAGAAATAATTTTTCTTCTTTTGATAATAAAAGAATTTTATTACTTATCTGTAAAAATTAATTTTTTATTTTACATTGAAGAGTTTGTCTTCTTCAATACAAAAGCATAACTAACGCAGATGTTGATTGCGTTACAATAGGTCAATTTATTGTGGAGCTTTGCCTCTGCCAAATCCTCCCATAAATTCCAAATTGCCTGCGCCGGCACCAACATCAATTTTCTTATCACCGGGTCCTCTTCTATAAGCGGTTCTGTCTTCTGCGGCTCTAGAAGAGTCACCGCCTCTTGGCCCCATGGGCTTACCCATACGGGCACCTTCAGCGGCAGCCTTCCTTTTCAGAGTGGCTGGGACGATTTCTGGGGGCAAATGAAGATATCCACGTAGGTACTCAATGCCATCATTTGTTAGGCACCAGTAGTAGTGCCTCCAGGCAAACTGTTCCTTCACCAAACCACGAGACTTCATACTCTAAAAATGAAAAATTTAATTATCAAAATGATGAACTACCATAATATTCACACAATATTATAAGATCATAAATTTAGATTAAAAAGATATGAATATAATATTACCTGCATGGCCTTAATCACATGAAGGTTTGGAATTCCTTCCAATTCAGGATGGTTGGGTAAGTGAACATTTTTTTCTGCGACCATGACACCCTCCTTGAAGAGCATTTCATAAATGGCAGTCCTGTTCTGCTTTGGCATCAACATCTTGCTATAAAGTTGAAAATTTTTTAGAATAAATTTATATTTGAAGTTTCATAGTATAATAATACAACTATAATAAATGTAAAATTATTCAAAACATTAACATTAACATTAAGTAACATGTTTACATGAAAGACAGGTTATGGTTATAGAATATCACGTGAGAGTTGAATTTTCAATACTATTTCAGAACAAACTTGGAAGAAATGTTCAAAGTCTACTAAATTATTTATAACAATTATGAAAATTTATTTAAACATTGACTTAGATCCTCAAAACGATCAACATTTTGACGTTTGGTTTTTTAGCTAAAAACTCAAAGAAATACAACTGAACATCGTTCAATAGAACTCATTTTACACCGGTCTAGCAATAATTTTTTATCAACGCGAAGAATAAACAAATATGTATGCATTTTTAATAATTTAAACTCACTGTCGGGATAATATCGATCTTTTCAATAAGAAAGATGATAAAAAAGAATTATTAGCACGTGGAAGAAGTTCCAAGACCGAAAGAAGTTCGGATACGTCGCCACCTGCGCATTTATCCGCCTGTCGGAATTCTACATTGCTATAGCACCCGGGAACATTTGAAATCTTCAAAATGCTCAGAATCTACTGTACTGCGCACTCATTCAATGGAATAAACTGAGACCGAGAAAAGATCTATATTCAAGAAAAATATGTTATGCTTTTGTTCAAATTATTTAATTAATTTTTCTTTGAAAGATAACATATAAACTGTTAATAACAATCGATGAGATTCTTCACTTTACACATGAAAAAGACCTACCTGTGAAAGAAATGTATACTTCTTTGATTGAAAAGAAATCACCAAATATATGAAAAATATGAAGGCAGTATTTTAATATTACAAATTAAAATTACCTTTTTAATTGGTTATCTGAATTTTTATTCATTATGCTCCCATGGTTCAATGCATTGAACAAAAAATAATTATATTTAGGCTTTTGACCAGATAATTCAAAATATTGTCAAAGTAGGTTAAAAAGAACATATCAACGGAGACAGAAAATGTTTATAATGATAACTGATCATTTATTTTTTTCAGTTAAACATGTCAAATTAACAGTTGGAAATCGTTGAATCTGTGATAATGAATACACAATTAACAATTTGTCATGTTCAGTAAACAGTAGCCATGAATTGTAGATAACATTACTGGCTTATTTGTACACAGTATTTAAATAATACTATACATACTTTCTATACTTTATAGAGTAACATTTTTAATCTTTAATTAATATTTCATAAAAAAATACACATCACAATATTGTAGTTGTATCATGTTATATTTTTAAAGTGTATCTTATAAATGTGGTCTTCGAGAAGACCCTTTGTTGAGAATTTCTTTTCGCATATATCACATGAATGCATGACGCCAATGTGCGTCGATTTGACGTGGATTTTGAGATGACCCTTTGTTGAGAATTTTTTCCCGCAAGTATCACATTCATGTAAAATATCGTTGTGTACTCTCTTGATGTGCTTCTTGAGATTGCTTTTATTTGAGAATTTCTTTCCGCATATAACACATGCATGAGTGATACCATTATGTACCGACTCGATGTGTATTTTAAGACTACCATTCTCTGAGAACTTCTTTTCGCATATATCACATGCATATGTGACTCTATTGTGTACTGAATCGATATGTCTTTTGAGATTACCTTTTTGGTTAAATGACTTTCCGCATATGTCACATGAATGCATCACATGAACGACATGGTGCACTGAATCGACGTGGATTTGGAGATTATGCTTGTGCGTAAATTTTTTCTCACGCATACCACATGCATGAGTGATACCATTATGTAGCGAGTTGATGTGTTTTTTAAGACTTCCTTTCTCTGAGAACTTATTTCCGCATATATCACATGCATATGTGACACCATTATGCACTGAATCGACGTGTTTTTTGAGACCACACTTAGTTGAGAATTTCTTTTTGCAAATATCACATGCATGTGTGACTCTATTGTGAATCGAATTGATATGTCTTTTGAGATTACGCTTGTCTGAGAATGTCTTATTACATAAATCACATGGATGCGTGATTTTATGATGCACCGAATCGATATGTTTTTTAAGATTGCTTTTGTCTGAGAATTTCTTTTCACATATATCACATGCATGCGTGATTTTACCATGAACCGAATCGACGTGGATTTTGAGATGACTCTTCTGAGTGCATTTTTTTCCACAAATATTACTCTTATCCGGAAATTTTTCACGTGATACAACAACAACTTTATGCACCGAATCGATATGGACTTTAAGCGACTTTTTCCTTTTAAATGTCTTCTTGCATTCATCGCATTCATATCGGATCTTATCGTGCACAACATTTATATGGTTATCCAGATGCTTCTTCATATTAAACCTTCTACCGCATTCATCTCTCGTGCAAACGTAATGGTCGCCTCGATGAGCCACATTCATGTGTATTTGTAATTTCTTCAACTTCGTGAAAGAATGTAGACAAATATCACACGCGAATGCACAACCAGATCTTTCAAAGTATCTCATGTTTCCGCTTTGCTCACTCACACACACACAATTACACACAAAATTTGAGATATAAGTTTTTGTCGAGCGAATCACTGGCGGCAGTCGATGCTGGACCTTCGTTCGTTATTCACGCTGCTAACGACGACTGTTATGCTTAAAGCAACACGGGAAGCACTACGAACAATACCAGTACCGTGTACAAATATATGTGTGTTTGAAATTCGCCGATCTTCGTACCCGAATTACGAACCGTCGCAGCTCGGCTGTACAGCAGCGCCGCGGCGCGCGTACACATTCGAAACACGTCTCGATTCGGAAGAGACGATATTTACGCTTGAATTACAGAGATTCGGTACAAAAAAAAAAAGAAAAAAGAAGAAGATACAGGTGAAGCAGCGATATTGAGTAAATTCAAAAATTATATAGCAAATTATACATTCGATAAATACTGTTTCCAAACCAGCTCGCAATAATAATGAAATACAACTGGCTTAGATACGTTCGCGCAATACCTTATGGCGATCTCTCTTCGTATTGCTTATATATCTGTGCTTCTTCTCTTTAATTCGACTCGAGTGCCCATATACGATCAACGAGAGAGTTGCCTACACACACACACATATAACATAGCTGTGTATAGTAGTACTGCTGTATGCTGCTCGCGGCTGCGGCGGTATATGACGGCGCGGCGCGCGAGAAAACTTGACAGTGCGGAGTGTCGTCGTCGTCGTCGTCGTTTCGCGTTTTAATACACGCAGAGCGCACGAGTAGTACACTATATATATGTATATATAATAATTATAAGTAAGACATAGTCGTCGCGGACGCGAGTCCGCGCGTACAGCAGCAGTCAGTCAGTCAGTCAGTCATTGCGCTGCACGTTGGTGTGCGCCCGAAGTGCGTGTCCGTGTGTACATAGTGCAGTTACAGTATATTAGTGTTTATATATAAGGCGCTGGTAAATATATATCAAGCAGTTTCTCCTATTCGTGTGCATCCGTGTCTGTGCGCATCGCTTTACTCTTCTTTCGTATATTTCGCTCTTATATATACACGCGTCTGCCTTTGTACCATCGTTGTCGTCATGCTGTACTCGTATCGAGTGCGACTGCAATAGCAGCGACGACTGCACTCGAGCATAGTCATTGTATACGTATGTATATGTATGTAAAAGATCGCGGGCTATGCGTCTCTCTCTCTCTCCTGCGTGAAAATGTGCATCGAGCTATATACGGAATATAGTTAATATTTTGTTGTACTACGCGCGGCGCGGTGCAGTAGGCCAGCGCATGCCCGTCCGTGTGTATGCAGTGTGCACAGCAGCTGCAGCCCCAGGCCAGGCGTATACCGCTGCAATTTGTAGGTACACCAGAAGGATAACAATAATAATATCGTGTCGCGATTCGGAGCTGCTTTTACTGCTGCTTTTACTGCTGCTGCTCTTCCGTTCCGATATCTGTATCCCATCGATGAGCAGCGGCGTATAACTGTGCTTTGACGTTATATATATAAAACACGAGACGTTTTAATATATAATGGGGAAGAATCTCTCCGAAAGAAGAAGAAGAATTATAAGCTAGTCGCGCGATAGTGTTTTTGTGTACTACGGAGACGCCGCCTACATACACATAACACAGTATATACACACACATACCTACACACGCGAGCGAGCGAGCGCCCAGAGTACAGTATACATAGTGTAGTATAGTAGCATATAAGTGCAGTGTTTCGGAGCTTGTGGTGTCGGACTCGCGCGCGCACGACGACGATATATAATACACGAAGGGTCATGAGCTGCGGCGAGATAGAGGAAAAAGAAGCGACGTCGTCGTCGTGGCGGCCCACCACGAGCTGCTGCAACGTCGCCCGCTGTTGTTGCTGCCGCCGCCGCTCGCAGTAGTACTTCCGATGCATCCGAAAGTTCGGTGAGCAGTGCAGTGCAGTGCGGTGCAGTCATCCTCCTCGTCGTATATAGCAGTAATAATCATATAATATATACGAGTGCGAGTCCGCGAAACCCTTCGAGGTTATGTGCACTCAGCAGCAGCAGCCCCCCAGTAGTGTACACTATCCGAGGAGCTGGCCCGAGGATGTCTTGCCAATAAAATCCGCCAACACGAGGTGAGGCGCCCTCGATAAACATCCGCATGCCTATATATATGTGTGATCCTCTCCTCGCTCCGTATTTAGAAGAAGAAGGAAAAAAAAATTGGAGATACATATGTTTTGCTGCGGTCGCGCAGTTTTTACAATGTGTATATACGATGATATCTCTTCGTGCGGTCAAGCTCGATCGTCGTTATTACATATCAGAGTAGAGAGAGAGAGCCTCGCCTACGTGTTAATTGGCATTATATACATATCATTAATGACCGAAACTTCATCGTCTTCGTCGCGTTGCGCGATAAGTCGCTCGCGAGAGACATATAAGTGTTCTGTATAATACTCATGGTGTGAGTGCGTTAATCGTGCGCTATATGGAGACGAGTATTATATACAAAAAGCCTTATATTATGCACATATACACACATAGTCGTCTCATGGTATTAAATATATATATATAACCCCTCCTCAGCTCTCTCTCTTGCTCCTCCTCGAGAACAGGCATCATTATAAATATATATACACATATAAAAGTAGTAGTAGTAGTAGTAGTAGTAGATATAGCAGCAACTCCAAGCTCATCTCGCGCTCATTACACTTCACACTTATACACGCGCAATAACACACACATGTATAGTTGGGCTATTCCGTGTGTTGCTGCCTGTCGTACCCGCGACATATAGCGCATGTATGTATGTATGTACATACGAGCGCGTCTATTGCTACCATATACGCTACGCGCGGTGTTTATACGTGTCGCCTCGGCTATACATGTGTGTGTATATAAGTGCAGTGCCTGTGCCTCCATATATAAATGCATGTGTGTATAGTGTATACGTCCGTGTGCAGTTATTATGTTTACTCTCTCTCTCTCTCTCTCTCTCTCTCTCTCTCTCTCTCTCTCACAAACACACACTCTCCGTGTATATGTTAAAGCGATGAGCAGGTGTCATAAACTGCAGAAGCAGCAGCAGCAGTAGGACACCCCCTTTGCTTTTGTTTATATATCGGCAGAGTATAGGCTCTCCTCGAATATATACGTGTTTTTGTGTACATCACATTGAAGCGCAACAACACAACACACGGACACGCTCCTTTCCCTTTCTCCCGCGCGCGCCTCGCCGTCATAATCGGCTGCAGCCTTCTGTATGTATTATATGCGGTTATATACCTATATAAAGTATATGTATACGCTTATAATAGGTTGTTGTTGCTGCTGTATGCCGTCCGATGTGTTATAAAGACTTCGTCGTCGTCGTCGTCGTGCGTGAACTTAAATAAGTATCGCGACGATGATCGACAACTTGCGCTTTCTGTCGCCTACATCTCTCTCTCTCTCTCTCTCTCTCTCTCTCCATTTCTGATCGTCGTGTGCAGTTGTGCACTGTTGTGTGTATGTGCATGGTGTGTAGTGCCTTATATGTGTGTGCATGTAGTACTCCGATATATAAGTGTATAATGTGTGTGTCTCTCTCTCTCTCGCTTGCTCAAAGTGCATCATTAACATTCCTAACGATATTTCTCTTTCTCTCGGTTGGCGACGACGACGCGCGTGTGTGCTATTTTCATAATGCAAATCTAATGCATTTCGCACTCGCTTCGATGTCGCGTTTATTGTGTACACATAGGTGTGTGTCGGGTGTTGTGATTTTGTACTTACGCAGCTTTTCGTTATATATGGTCAAGTCGGACGTGCACGACGAAGACGACCGTCGTCGACTCGATATCGAGTCCGCGGTGTAATATGATGACGACGATAATGTTGTTCTTTTTTTTTTTTTGCATTCAATGTGCTTTGATAGACAAATTCTTTGATTCTTGCGACGTTTTTATTCTCTTTGCTGATCTTTTCTTTAATGCTCTGTCTCTCTCTTTTGCAGCTCTTCTTGCTTTCTTCTTGACCTTTTTTCTCTCTCTCTTCTCTTTCATTCTCCATTCATTCATTTCAATTGATATAATAACATTTGTTTTGTGATTTCTCTGTTCCTTGCGTTCTGCGATACTGCTACGTAGTTTCTGGTTTTTAAAACAGAAAATACTGCTGTAGCTGGCAATTTATTTATTGCTCGAAGCACAAGCTTTAATTTATGTATTGACAACTGATTGGAAAATTTATGTGCGCGCTGCTGCTATGCTGACATACTCTATGAATATTGATTTGCCTTTCGTCTATTCATTCTGAATAATTAACATAAATTATTATTCGCAGGTTTGGAAACGTTTGGAAATTGAAAGTTTTAGAGTCAAACCCTGCCAATGGATTTGTATACGCTAGTAGTTAGACCAATTGGGTGTGGGTCTGAGACTAGATCTCACCTTGCAGCCTAATCCTGGCTGTACCTATGAAGAGACTGCAGAGGATGCCGGGATCCTCTTTCGAAAGGCCAAGAGCTCATAAACTTAATGATATTGAGCCTCACCTATCTAAGGTAATTTATAGAATCCATAACATGTGTGTCAATAAAGTTCAACGCAAACTTACACAATCAATTTCTATGTTCCATAGCCCCCGGTAGCAGGATGTGGTACAAGTGGAGCTTCAGGTGTCAGCGGCAACGATACTATTGGATCAGCTAGTGGATTTGGAATAAGCGAGAGCAACGAGCCGGCTAGCTCACTGGTATGCAGCGGCAGCATGGGCAGCATAGCTCGCTTCCCCAAGCTTGACGAGTGCGCCCACTTCCATTACGAGCACGTCGAATTGATCAGTCTGCACGTCGAGCTCACGGAGAGCGACGAGGCCGGTGCGGCGGCGGCGTCGGGCGGCAACAACGAGTTCGCCGTGCGAGTGACCTCGGGCGACGCCTGCTGGACGCTGCAGCGCAGCTACGAGAACCTCGTGATGTTCGACAAGCAGCTGCACCGCTGCATCTTCGATCGCAGCTTCTCGCAGCTGTCCGAGCTCAATCAGGAGCCGCCGCTGAGCTCGATCGAGCTCCAGCAGTACTTCGGGCGCTTCTCGGACCTCAGCCACGAGGGCCTGAACTGCGGCCCCGTGCTGAACTGGCTGCAGCTGGACAATCGCGGCAGGCGCATCCTCGTGCCGGAGGCCGACAGCTGTCCCATCAACACGCCCGCGGTGGCGGCGGCCTACGCGGTGAGGCCGTACCAGGCCCAGGCGCAGGACGAGATCAGCTTCCAGGTGGGCGACATGATATCCGTGATCGACATGCCGCCCGCCGGCGAGAGCAGCTGGTGGCGCGGCAAGCACGGCTTCGCCGTGGGCTTCTTCCCGGCCGAGTGCGTCTCGGTGATCGGCGACAAGCTGCCCCGACAGCTGCTGCCCTCGTCGGCCGCCGCGATGGCCCAGCCGAGCAGCACCAGCAGCTCCCAGATCGGCGGCCAGTATCATCCGCAGCAGCGACTGCAGCCGGTGCGGCTGCAGCAGCCCGTGAAGCCGGTGCTGCGCAAGCACGGCAAGCTCATCGCGTTCTTCCGGTCGTTCATACTGAATCGGCCGTCGCGGCGACGCCTCAAGCAGTCGGGCATACTGCGCGAGCGGGTGTTCGGCTGCGACCTCGGCGAGCACCTGCTGAACAGCGGCCAGGAGGTGCCCTCGGTGCTGCGCTGCTGCGCCGAGTTCATCGAGCGCCACGGCCTCGTGGACGGCATCTATCGGCTGAGCGGCGTCAGCTCCAACATCCAGCGGCTGAGGCACGCCTTCGACGAGGACCGCCAGCTGCAGCTCAACAGCGACGAGGCGATCCTCCACGACATACACTCGGTCGCCTCGCTGCTCAAGATGTACTTTCGCGAGCTGCCCAATCCGCTCTGCACCTATCAGCTGTACTCGTGCTTCGTGAGCGCCGTGCAGGCGGGCACCGACACCGAGCGGCTGGCGCGTATGCGCGAGGCCGTGCGCAAGCTGCCGCCGCCGCACTATCGCACCCTCGAGTACCTCATGCGGCACCTGGTGCGCGTGGCGGCGCGCGGCGAGCAGACCGGCATGACGCCGCGCAACGTGGCCATCGTCTGGGCGCCCAATCTGCTGCGCTGCAAGGAGCTCGAGGTCGGCGGCGTGGCGGCCCTCCAGGGCGTCGGCGTGCAGGCCGTCGTCACCGAGTTCCTCATCTGCTACGCCGAGCTCATCTTCGCGGCGGGCCCGCTGTCGAGCACGCCGAGCCCCTCGTCGGCCAGCCGGCCCAAGTCGCTGGCGCTGGGCTCGCTGGGCGGTCGACTGCTCAGCCTCGACGAGGCGCGCAGCCGCTCCTCGGCCCCGGAGCCCGACCTCATGGAGGTCGGCCAGGGCGGGCCGCCGCCCCGCTATCACACCGTGCTCGAGATGCCGGCCTCGCGGCGCCGTGGCGCACCCACTGGTAATTCCAAGCGCTCGCCCTCGCTCAACTGGCGCGCTCTCTTCGGTGGCGGTCGTCAGAGCAGCACCAAATCGTCGTCGTCGTCGTCGCGTCAGCGTCAGTCCTCGGCCGAGGCTCCCGCGGCGCCGTCGCAGGCTGCCCACACCTTGAGGAAACTTCGACCCGTCAAGAGCGCCGACAGCCTCGACGGACAGCAGCAACAGCAACAACAGCAGCAGCAGCAACAGCAACAATCATGCAGCCTGTTGCTGCATCAGGTCTCGGAACCGATACCGACCAGCATCGCCGTTCAGGTGGAACGCGAGCCGATCGTCTCGGCTACCAACGTCGCCGATCACGCCAAGGAGTCGAAGGAGCCTCGCAGCTCCGGGCACAGCCGTTCCGTGTCGCACGACTCGTACTTCGAGCAGCTGACGGAGCAACACTCGGCCGGCAGTGTCTCGGGCGCCTCGGCCTCGGCCCTCGACCTGTCGGAAATCCACCTGAGCTTCGATCTGGAGGAGCGAGAGATGCGCATGCTGTCCGAGGACGGCAGCGGCGGAAGACCCTCGTTGGAGGCCTCGCCGAGGCGACAACTGGCCGAAGTTCAAAGCGCCAACGCACCGAGCAGCGTTACCGCTGGTGGATCCAAACGCAAGAGATCGCGCCTCGAGGAGCGGCTGCAGTGCGACGTCGAATTACGCTTCATCGATAGCCAAAGTCCCGATCAGGTACGCTTCTAATCGTTTTGACTCCGTTTTAAAATGGAACGCCGTTATGACCATTATTTTTGTGTATCGTCCAGGTGATGTTGACCGCCGAAGTGCACGAAATGGAAACACCGTCGCCGCTTCCTACCCCAGGATATCTACCTCTCTTGTCGGAGGGCTCGACCCCTCTCACTCCAGCAGCTAGTCCTCGCATTAATTTCAAGAGCTTCTCGTTGCCTCTGGATCTGGGGGAACCACCCCCGGCACCTCTGCAGCCCCCACCGTTGGAGATCGAGCATAAAGTCGATGCGACGTCGTCGGCGTCGTCGTCGATCCGCCGCGCAGCAGCTCCACCGTCGTCGGTCGCCTCGATCGTCGATCAGGAAATGACGCCGTGCGAGAGGCTGCTGGATCTCGACAGTCCGAGCGACATGAGCCTCGGTAGCCTCGACGCAAACGCTTATCAAGGGTAAATAGATTTCAAACAAACACACACATATCGATCAACGAGACAATCCGGCGCTGCTGCTCTGCGTTGCGGGCGGAATGCAGTTATCGGCGGCAGTTTTATACGTAATTCTACTGACTGACTGCGACGAAATTGGACAGCTTTACCTACCAACTACTATTAATACGACCTCTCTCTACTAACAATACGACGACCCCCGATCGATTTAATCGCGTTTCAAGAATTTCGCCTCATTAGAATTTCGGTTTCAGCCTTGACGTCGAATTCTTGCCGAAAAGCATCCAGCGGCCGGAAGCGCCAACAATAGTTGGTTTTTTAGGTAGCCCCATCGTTCCGGATGTTGTTCCTGCATCCACCAATGCACAAAGCAACGATGTAACCGAGAGTAACGTTAACGATAGTTCATTGATAAGTTTCGAGTCTCCCATCGTTGAGCATCAACTGTTGCCGATAATCATGGATCATTTTACGAGGGAGATAAACAATGAAGAGCTCGATGCAACTGAAGAATGGGTCATGACTGATCAATCTGCACCAGGTTCGTTGATACTTTCCATTTTTTTAGAATCGATTCTCTCGTTCGTAAATTCGAACTAATGAATTTTATTTTTTGTGCGTATAGATTTTATGTGCAGAGACGATATACGCTCATCCGAAGAGTGCGAGTCGACGAAAAATGAAGCTAATACATTGAATAGCAAGTTTGATCAAGATTATCAAGAGTCCATGTGTATTTCGATAACGAGCGAGTGTCCTTCGACTGAAAGTAATCCCGAGTTAACCGAAAAAAATATTAGTTTATCTTGCGATGATAATTATCGAAATTTAGAATGTAATAATCAAGTTTTCGATAAAATCGACTCGAGTCCGTTGGAAAGTTTGCCAACCGTGGCAATGAATACGACGGACTCGATTACGAATCAAAAAGATTGTGAAAATTTGTCTTGCCAAACGACTGATACTATTGTAGTAGAGCGCGAATCTGATGAATCCACCGATAATGAAGGCAATGACAATGACACAAAAAGTCAATTAGATAGTTGGAATAAATCAATATTGGATAATAAAAGTTCAAATCATTCTATTAATGTAGAAAGTAGTAGTAAAAGTAATGATTGTGTTGAGAAAATAGAACATTCATTATTAAATAAGACAGAATATAAATTCAATGTCGCTACGGAGAACGTCTGTGATAATCAAACGAAGCAAGACTTTGTGGATGTGAACGCATCCAAAAATTTTGACGAAAGCCATGCACAGTGTTCAACCCAAGAATCCAGTGATCTCGCTAATGCTGCTATTAAGGACGAGCAAGATCACGATTTAGATGTAATTATACCTTCGGCAAGCTTGGCCGAAGAACCTCGAGAAACAGCATGTGTGCCAAATGTGCTCTCGGAAACAAAAGGCTCTCTCAAGACGGAAACGTTTTGCCCGTCGAACGATGCCAATATACAGCGAGAATCGCCGACTGTGCACAAGGACACTGCAACTATACTGCAAGAATTGGCTCTGCAGAGGCTGCAGGGAGGCGATCGAGTCGAGACGATTCAGCTCAGGAGAAAGTATGACTCCGACTATACTAAGGATAGGCGCAGCTTCGATTCTGAAATCGGGCGAGAAATCGTGAGGGAGCACAAAATGAGACTAGAACTCGAACACGCCAGAGGCAAATCGGACGATCCTCTTGCAGTTAGCCAAAATCAAAAGTAAGTTCACCCCGCTAATATTGAATTTTTGTTCGACCATTACTGATTTTCTTCTCTCCCTTTTCTCGTTGTAGCATTCCAGGTACGCACTTGCCTCCATGTTTGCGAGCTCGACACGCGCGAGCGACACGAGCGGCTCTGAGCCGCTCGCTCGACGAAGCCAAGTTTAACAAGATGACGAATTGCTGCGGCAAGGAGAATTCGGCGGTCGGGGCGTTGAGGAACAATCAGCGCCAGCCGCAGCAGCAGTACGAGCAGCAACCGCAGCACGGCTCGACGCCCAACGTCGACGTCAAGTCGAGCAGCATCGCCGCCGCGAAGACCCTCGGCCTCGATCTCGACGATCCGCGATGCCGCGAGCGCATCGAGAAGTACAAAGAGGAGCGCCGCAGCTTCTTGCGAGACAAGTACAGATCGGAGAGTTTCCGAGCCGCTGCCGCCGCCAAGGCGGTCGACGCCGTCGCCGCGGCTAACGCCAAAATCAAGATCGACTGCCCGACCGCCGCCAGCGCTAAGGAGGACGGAGATCAAGCTCTGTTGGCAAGACTTAAACAGCGAGCTTCCAGACCCTCGTTACTTTGACCCTCAGCCTCGGCTGTACGGCTAGATAGCTGTTAAACGAAAAAAAAAAGAATTCGAGTAACGTGTTGAATAATTAATATTCGATTTATCTCTCTATTTACCGAGCCACGGTCGTGTAGATCATTTCATAGATAGCGATCGCCTTTTATTGTTAATATTAAAACAGTCGTGCAATCAACTTCTTTAGAATCATGTCTAATAGAGCAATTTTCAGACGATTCACATAAATATAAAAAAAATTTAATATATAGAATATACTATTAATGTCAGCACGATATGCCACGTTGCTATGTTGTCGCGTTTATTATTCAGATTATGTGTGTGGTATACTTAAAAGTATACATGCAATTGAGCGCAGCTGTTTTTTACGTATTATAATTATGTTTATTATTATAACATAAAATTGATTATCTTATATTTATTATCATTATCATTATGATTATTATCATTATTATTACTATTATTATTATTATTATTATTATCATATTGATATTTAAATAATTGCGATTATATTATCATTGTTATATCTTTATATTGTGCTTCTGCGATTATTGAAAAATTAATTTGTTGAGATTTTCTAGGACTGATTCTCGCTTTCAGTTCCAAAGCCAGACATTTTTTTTGTTATATCGACCTAAGCCTCCGTATAATACTCAAAGTGATGCGTCTGATTATTTATTTATATCATAAATGTATTAACTTTTGTAACACTGCTATTTGATGTCGCATCATCATGGACTGCTGTAGCGTGAAAAATATTTTGTAAATGTTAGTTTCTATGACAGAAATTTTCATAAGAAAGATCTGTGTTGTTATTTAAGTGCATTAAAAATCATTTGCTTCTACACTGTGAAGAATAATCATGTAATGATTTCAGATAGCTAGATATGTTGTAGTTATCACCTCACTCAAGCAAATCATTATTAAATCTATATTATGCATTAAAAAAAAATTGTGTTGCAAGCTATGTATGAGCTTAAATTAACTGGATAAAATTGTTTCATTTGCACAAAAAGCTCAAACGTGTCTATAAGTTAAAGAATAACTCAACCATTTGATAATAGTTATAAAAAGATGATGCAGAAAAGTCATGACGACGGTATGGTCAGATTGTATAATTCTAATCTTCAACGACTCTTGTCTAAAATTCAAGCTTTCATGCATAGGTTACTAAAAAAAAATTTAATAATAATAATCCAATAATTGTGAATTATTACACTGGACCAACCATAACTTGCTTGGGTATATGAAAAAAAAATCGATTGTGATGGCTATATATTACTGATAAAATATGTGTACGCTAGAGCCGGGTATATATATGTGTAACGATAAAAACGACGAATATTAAAATGAATTTCACAAAGCCTCGATGGAGAACAAAAACGAACAATCATGCGCCATATACAGAACAAAAACGAACAACTTTATGATCAAAGTTAAATACGAATTTCACGTGCCTACTACGTGTGAAAAATAAAAACTTTTTTATACCCCCCGATCTTGCGTATAATCTGTACGATATGTTTTTTTTTTTTTATTAATTTTTTTTTTTATTACTGATTACTACTATTGTTCAATATTTTCTGAATCACGTAAAATAATAAAATAAAAACTGACATAAAATAAAAGCCTTTACGAGAAACGAACGCACTTCCTTGATTATTCTTCATTATCATCATTATCATCATCAATCATCATCATCGTCGATTTCCACACGCAGCATAGAAATGCTAATGTGTGTACGATGCCATGAAAACGTAGTTATCGGACTTTCACTTCTATGGAAAAGAAAAAGAAAAACAATTACAACGCCCGGAGCAGCCGCACGCAAAAAGCGATATATTATTTATTGCTATATAGGCGAGCGGCGAGTGGAATCATCCCCGACACCGTATACAGATGGCGCGAGAGGACAATTTGCATGCCGCTGCAGGTGCATGCGTATAGTATAGGGAGCTTTTATAATCATATATCTCGCGGAGAGGACGAGTTCGCGAACGGATAAAAAATACGTAGAGGGCAGCACGTGGCGGAGAGAGCATCCAGTCGATTGACGTTACCCCTGGCTGCGTATGTGTTGTATATACACAATGATGATAACGCGCACACAGGCACACAAGTCGGCGCGCGCCTTGCTGCAAGTTTGCGGCTGAAGAAAGTCTATATGTGTGTGTGCACGCATATACTTACATATACACACAGGGGAATCTACGCGTATCTATATATATAATCGGCCGCAATAAGAGAAAGCGTATTGTGTATACACAGCAGCAGCAGCAGCAGCGCAGCACCGAGCACGCACAGGGAGAGCTGTCAGTATGTGACTCCGAAGCGTGAAATTCTCTCTTTCTTTCTCTCCTATCTGGCTCTTGTGTGTGTTCTTCGCGAATTCGACCGACTGTTGTCCGTACTCCGTCTGTCTGCGTGCTGCTGCCTCGTTATACAGCAGCGAGAACAGCCAACACCTCTTCTCTCTCACTCTCTCGTACAAATACTCGAATACATCTTAATAGACAAACAGCCGTGGCCAGCAGTGCTGCGTTCGGAAATTATCATCGCCGTCGTATCGCGCCTTCGTATCTCTCTCTCTCTTCTTTGATGTGTTGTGCTTTCACACGCGGCGTATTATCATTACAATAACTTTTGTGCTGCTGCTGCATATCGCTTGTGTTGTACATTCGACGTCGACGACGACTGCTCGTGCTCTGCTGGCCGGAGGAGCAGCTCAGTTGTATATCGTGTCTTTCTCTGTCTGAGTCAGTGTGCTCGAAGTGCAGCAGTGGTGCGCGCGTGCGAATTTGACGTTGCAACACATTCTCTCCTTATTGAGACTTATTGATGAATAAGTCGACGCGACGACCCGTACACATGCGTGATACATCGTCGTACGCATCGTACGAGTGTATACATTAAAAAGAAAAAAAGAAAAAATCGGAGGAGAACGAAGAAGAAGATCAAGTGGACGAGAAGTGCCAAGTCTCTCTTGTGTGTTTATCAATTAAAATTCCTGCGTCTCGCTGCTATACTGCTGCTAGGCACTGGCAGTCTGCAAGATCCAGAGAGAGAGAGAGAGATAGATATATAGACACTGTCAAGTGTAGTGTCCACGCAAGGGCGAAAGAGAGAGGAAGAAGCGCATCGAGTGCATGCTTTTCCACGCGACGACGACGACTATATATTAAATTAATTGTGCATCGATCGTAGCTCATCATCAATGAAAATCATCGTCTACGCCGAGCCGCGGAGCTGACAAGCCCCGCTTGGTTAATAATCAACGCGACGCAACGGCCTGCAGTGTGTCAGCTCCTCTGCACCTTGCCTGCTGCACAGTCACAGGCACACGCACACACATTTGTTATTGTTATATATATATATGGAAAGGAGGATGCTCTCCATGCTGCCCCTGCCGTAATGCAGCTCGACGATTCTCTCTGTACATACGCTAAAGGCGAATGAATCCTCGTATTTTATGCACACACGACGAGGAACAATAAAAACGCAAAGGGATCTTCGACTCTCGGCAGGTTAGTCGGTCGATATTGTAATCTCGTGTATACATCTATATATTTAGCGAGTGTCTGTACGTGATTGTATTATATATATATGTGGGATTAAATGAGTGTGCCGAGCCGAACACGGCTCAAAATTTATAATATAAACCGAGCGTATGTTCTTTTTCCGGTCCGCTTCCTTCTCCAATTGACAGATGCCAGAGAGCGAGCGAGTGGAGCTTTGCTTGTTTCTTTTTTATTTTGACTTTTTTTGGCTTTTTGTTCGTTTCTGAAGTGTCATTGCATGGGTTACTATACCGTTTCGCGCGAATTGAATTTTAACTTCCTCTCTTGCGTAGGTATATACGCACACTTGCGTGTACTTGGGAACGGTGTATAATATAATAACGATGTGCTTTTTGGGTTTCAGGCCTGTGCTGCGCGCTGAAATCGATGCGAGCGGCGGTAGTGATTCTCTTATTCACGAGCGACTCGATGAAAGGAAAGGAAAGAAAGGCAAGAGAGTAATGTTTTATGAGTGAAAAAAAAGAAGAAGTTACCGTCGCGACGATGCGTTTTTCAGCGAAAACTATAGGTACGTGTATACGTTCTAATGCTTGACTATTTTCACCCGTCGCGCGTGGTTGAATTTAGTTGTTGTTGTTTTTTTGCTGTCTAGCAGTCCCATGGTGAATCGGCGCGAACGCAATGGATATATTTTTCATCGTTCATTGAGGGTCATCAAAGAGAGTAAAAAAAAAGAAAAACCCAGTCATGGCGGACTTGGAGATCGAGGCCGAGACGTCGGCCGCCTTCGGTCCCTCCGAGGGCGGCTCGTCGACGTCGTCGAGCGTCGATCTGAAAAAGTCCATCGACAACGACGCACGGCTCGTCGAAAAGACCACCACCACCTGTACGTCAGCGGCGGCGGCGGCCGTCGTCGACGCCGGAGAGATGAGCGACGACGAGAGCAGTAGCAATAGTGGCAGCGACGACGACGACGACGAGGACATCGACGCGAATCTGTACATACCTTCGAAGACGCTGGGCGAGTCGGCCCGAGAGACGATCGTCAACAAGACGAGGCCCGGCGCGGGCAGCAACGGCCTCAGCAACGGCGACGGCTCGTACTTCAAGGAGAACGTCGCGCCGAGTAAAACCAACGACAAGCCCAACATAACTGTCGAGGTGAGGCTCTTTTCATTATTTTTAAATCTATATAAAGCAACTGTGCTTGAGCAATGATAAAATTATAATATACATTTCGAAAATAACAGCCTTACGAAACGAAGCAGCAGCAGCAGCAGCAGCACTCGTCGTCGTCCTCGACGTGCAGTAGAAATTATTACTTCATCGACGCGTCGAGTCTTCACGACGACGTGGACGACCTTCAGCCGCCAGCCAACGAGACGACCTCGTCGTCGTCGCCCTACGGCAGTCTGCCCTGGTACAACAGCAGCAGCGCTCGAACGAACGATTCGACCAGCGAGCAGCAGCAGACGGCAGCGGCACAGCAACGACCATCGACCATCACGAACGAGGATGGATCGTCGTCATCGAAAGCAACGATAACGCCGATAATTTTAAACGAGGACGCTTCGGTCCAGAAACACAAAACGATAACGACTACGACTACGACGACTACGACTACGACGACTTTGAACAAGGAGTCACTGGCGATCGAGATCAAGGAGGCGGACAGCGGCGAGAGCGGCCAGATATCGCCTTGTCCGGACAACACCAAGATGCCCGCAGGAACGATACAGAAACTGGCCAACGAGCTGTCGAGCCTCGGCATCAAGAGCAACGACACGGCTCCGGTAGCAGTAGCCGCCGCCGCTCCGACGATCCCCATCAGGCGGGACAACACCTTCGAGCTCGACTCGGAATTGTCCGGCGAGAGGCGACTGTCGAGCCTGAGCTCGAGGCTGCAGGGAAGCGACTACGAGCGACTGCAGGGCGAGCTCGTGTTCAAGAGCTCGATCACGCAGTACTCGCAGCATCATCTCGATGTGGCGGTCGTGCCGTTCCCGGTCGTCGTTGACGATGTAGCAGCACCATTGAAAGTAATAGATTCGTCGTCGTCCTCGCAGCCGCCGGCGATGCTGCGCTGTCAGAGCGACAAGCAGCTGCCGACTGCTACGCACGCCTACACGGACAGTACGGAGGGCCCGTTCAGCAGTCTGCCGGTCACGGTGGTCGAGAAGCTGGAGAAAAAATCGAACACCTCGTCGAGGATCATCAACGACTCGCCCATAGTGTCGGGTGGCGTCTCGTGCGAGGACTTCAAGCAGCAGATCAAGCAGCGACTGCAGTCGAGCGGCGGCCGCAAGAGCGAGTCGGCGCCGATCGTGTCGGGCGGCGCCGTCGACCTGCCGCAGAAGAGTCCACCACCGCGCGGCGGCGGGTCAGCCGCCACGCAGGCTCGTCGATCCGCGGCGACGGCCGCCTGGGTCGTCGACATGAGCGATTGCACCAGCCAGGCGACGACGAGCGCGCGCGGCAACAAAAATCAATCGCAAGGCCCGCCACCGCCGCCGTATCAATTGCATCAACCACAGCAGCCCAACAGTTTCAATTCCTTCAGGTCCGGGACGACGGGTCGCACCGAATCGGGCACGACGAGCGGCAGCAGCAGCCTCGGCTACTTCGTGAACTTCGACAATCTGAGTTCGGCTAGCTCGGCCGAGCAGCAGCAGCATCAGCAGCGCCGCAAACCGAGCGACGCCGGCAGCTCCTGCTGCGAGTTCTACGTCGACCTGGGCTCGACGACGTCGGATTCGAAGACGGCCACCGAGCTGGGCACGACGACCGAGAGCGGCGCCAGCAGTCAGCCCAGCAGCTCGGGGCCGGACAGCGGCCGGCGTAACATGTTCTCCATGTTCATCGACATCAACAACGACTCGAGAACGACGGAGACGACGACGACGAAGCCCCAGACGAAGCCTCGGCTGCGCGGCGTGGCCAAGTCCAACTCGTCCTCGCTGATATCCGAGCAGCTGAAGCAAGCGACGCGGGAGGAGGAGGAGGCGGCAGCCGAGGCTCCGAAACCGAAGCCGCGCGGCGGCGTCTTCATGTTCATCGAGTCGGACTCGCCGGTGGTGCGCAGACGCACCATGTCGAGCTCGCGCACCCAACAAGCCTTCAAGCGCCACAGCTGGAATTCGGACAAGAGCGGCCCCGAGGACGAGAGCCAGCTGCAGGCACTCAACGGCAGCGCTACTCAACAGCAGCAGCCACAGCCACAGCCACAACAGAATACGAACAAAGCAGCGCCACCGACGACGACGACGACGACGCTGAGGCAGCACAAGCGAGCCCAGAGCCTGTCGGTGGAGCGGGGCGGCGATCTGCGCAAAGCCCTGATGAGCCACAAGCAGCTGCAGCAGGTGGCGGCCCGCGAGCAGGGCTCCTGCGAGGAGGACGAGGCCACCAGCCGTCGCGACACACCGCCCAACTCCTACGTGGAGCAGCTGCCGCGCGAGCTGCACGAGCGCCGTAGGCGCAAGGCCGTCAAGGACCTCGAGCCCGAGCTGCAGAAGAAGTGCGACAGCAGTACCTTCGATCTCATCAGTAACGGGGCGGCGAGCGAGGCCGACTGTCGGCATCATCGTCGTCATAATCATCGTCGCGGCGATCGCAGCTACTCGGCCGGCAACAGCAATCTCATGACGCTGGATCTGCTGGCCGACACGGCGGAATCTCAGCAGCAGCAGCAGCCGATTCAACAAAAGGCCGAGGCCGGCAGCAGCTGCTTCACCACGTCCAACGACTCGAGCATACCCGACCTGGTGGATCCGGGCACGAGCGACTCGAGCCTGCCGTATAATAATCATCATCATCATCATCGTAATCATCACGCGGAGCAGGGCGGCGAGTTCAACAACAACAATACGCCCGACGTCACGGTGCCGAATCTCGAGGCCGACACCGACACCCTCGTGTCCGAGTCCAACTCCAGTCTGCAGAGCAGTACGGGCCAGTCCGTGCAGGAGAGCACGGGCGGCGGCACCGACTCGTCGTCCATCAGCACGACCGGCGAGCAGCCCCTGTACAACAGGCTCGGCGAGGACCTCCTCAAGATGTTCGTCGGCGAGGTCGACACCGACGTGACGATAGACGTGGGCGGTCGCCACATCAAGGCCCACAAGTGCATACTCAGCTCGAGGTGTCAGTACTTCGCCGCCATGCTCAGCGGCGGCTGGGTCGAGAACGCCGGCAACATCATTTCCCTGCAAGGGTAGGTTGCGAATCGAATCGTGTCTTTTCTTTTTTTTGGAGTTATTTATCTTGTCTTCTTCGGATTCAGGTACACCTACGACGTGGTGCACTTCGCGCTGTGTCACATTTATTGCGGTGAAATTTGCATCCCCGAGACATTGAGCATCGTCGAGTTGGCCACGTTGGCCGATCTGCTCTGTCTGGAAGGTCTCAAGGAGTGCATCGGCTACACTTTAAAAGTGCAATATTGTCACAACTTTCACAGGGTAAATTTTTCATTGTCTTTTCTCGGCGGCCTCATTGCTTGTCCGATTTTGAACAGTTTTAAAATGAAAAACGTGTATTATTTTCTCGTAGCCATGCAACGGCTGCACGGTCGGAGTTTTGGAGTGCTTGCCGATCGCCGCCGCTTACGGTTTGGACGAAGTTTACCGAAAGTCGCTCAGGTGGATCACCAAACACTTCGTCCGTGTTTGGTCGAGCAAAGAATTCGCTACATTCCCCAAGGAACTTATGAACAAATGTTATCATCAACATATCGTGCACATGGTAAACTTTTTTCCTGATACAAATTTTCTTCGCTATCGAAAAAAGATTTCTAATCGTCAACGTGTATCGCTTACAGAGTATAGAAAACGTTTTGCAAACGATTATGGACTGTGATCAACTGCTCACCATACTACCGAACGTACGCTGGGCCGAGACTGTGTTCCTGCTGGCCTCGAATCTGCTGGATACGTCCATGAAATTCCTCACGGACAATTTCCCCTCGATCCTCAGCACCGACAGCTTTCTGAATCTCGACCACGAGTTCACGTGGAACATCGGCCGGCTGGAGAAGCATCTGCTCGCGGCCGCCGAGCGACTGGCGCCCGAGCAGGCCTGCAAGGCCTACTCCAAGACCCACAAGATGTTCAAGATCGAGAACCGCTTCAACTGGAGCCCGATCTTCGAGGACTTCATGACCAAGATACGCGTGCAGATCGAGAAGTGTCTGATACGCGACGCCGCGAGAGCCGCGAGGACCAACGCCTGGCTGAAGATGGATCTCGAGCTGCGCAGGTACATACAGGAGAAGGCCTGCCTGGTAATACTGCCCAATACGGACTCTACAAGCAGCACGAGGTCCATGTCGTCCGCCAAGCGATCGTCCAGGCACTCGGACTTCATGAAGGAGCCCAAGGAGTTCAAGCTGCTCAAGTGTCGCTCGCCGCCCGTACAGGCGGGCGTTGACTTTCGCAAGGTAAAGATGGCCATTTCCGATTACAACGATCGCACCCACAAGCAGGCCGCCCTACTGCAGACGAAAAAGGTCATGAACAACAACAACAACAACAACAGCAACAATAATCACAATCACAATCATCACAAGACCCCGAAGACCGATCCGATGCAGCGCAAGGCGACGACGCAGAGCGAGAAGATCATGAGCGAGTCGGCGGCGAGCTCGAGGCCGCGCTCCTGGCCGAACAAGCCGGAGATCAAGTCGAGATACCTGGAGCCGCGCGTGCGACCGACTCCCTCCGCAGCCAAAGAGCAACTGCTGACCACGTCGAAGCGCGACCAACAGCAGCAGCAATTCGGAATAGCGCCGAAGCAGCGTCAGAAGATCATCATATCGTCGTCGGACTCGTCGCGCACCTCCAGTCCGGCGATGAAGCGAGCCGCCGAGAGAAAATCCATGAGGCTGTCGTCGTCGTCCCAGTCGAAGGTGCCGGTGCGCGTCGAGGGCAAGGCTCGCTCCTCGGACAATCTGACGAGCGAGTCGAGCGGTGGCGCCGCCGCGGGCCGAGGCCAGGGCAACGCGAGAAAGGATCATCATACGGCGGCGACCAGCAAGAGCTGCGGCATCACTCGGCCCGAGTCGCCCATGCTCGCCAGGTCGAAGAACAGCAGCAGCAGCAGCAACCACCTTCAGCACGAGGGAGGAGGAGTAAGGAAGCCGGTGCCGAAGGCGCGCGCGAATCTCGGCCGGGCCGCAACCGCCGCCGCCGCCGAAGTGTCGACGTCGCAGGACAGCCTGACGAGCGCCACCTCCACGGCCAGCCGGCTGACCAGCAAGAACTCGCCGATACTGGGCAAGGTGCAGGCGAAGGCGAGATTAGCAGCGACCTCGTCGCCGCCAAACTCGCGTCGGAGCGTCACTGCGTCTGCGTCGAGCAAGCAGCGACCGGCGCGCTCGCTCGAGGCGCCCACCGCGGCCAGTCGCAATCGAGCCGCCGCCGTGGCGAGCTCGTATCAGGGCTCGCTGAATCTGCGCAAGAGCCTGCTCGACGCGGCCAAAGCGCCCGAGGTCGTGACGACGACGAGGACGACCACGACGACGACGACGACCGTTCGACAGCAGAGCGTCAGGTCGGATAAACGCGACGAATCCAGCCCCCTGACCAAGAGATCGGTTATCGGTAAGTAGATTTCGCACATTAGTTATCGATCGTAAAAGATTATCATCGGTTAACGCGCGAGTGTTAATTTCGTTCGTGTGATTTTTCTTAATTAGCACCATCGCCACTTTTAATTGTAGGTAAAACTCGACAACAGCAGCCGATCATCAGCAGATCCAGTACCGCGCCGACGACGCGCCAGAAACCCAAGACGGAGGTGAGATCACCGGCGATGCAGCCGAAATCTGCATCCCGCAAGACGACGACGAGCGTCTGCCCCGCAGACAACACCACCGGAGCAGCAGCTGCTACTGGCGGCGGCATCGGTGCACCCAAGTTCCTCAGCCAAAGTTCCAGATCCGGCACCTTTCTCAAAGACGAGCCGACGATTCTCAACAAATCCGACATGGACAAGGTCGCGATCGATCTCTAAGCCGATCCTTCGAAGCTCGAAGTTTCCTGTTCCCATCCCAATTTGCATTCCGACCCCAACGCACCACATCGTTTATATAATATATATAAACACACACACACAAGTCCCCGCGACATAATTAACGTTTAGCCGATAGATTTAACGATAAACAAATGCCTATGAGGAAGCTCTCTCTATCTTTTTTTTCTCGTGACGCATGTGATGATTACTATATACGATACGTACAATTGCATTTTGACGCAAGGAATTTAGTATGGAATCTGATTATACATACGCGTATTCGCGATTTTGTAATTGTAATGAGAAAGGGGGAGCATTTCTGACTGGGGAGTGATATTCGTACTGGTAATTTGGTAATCGATTATAGTATATTACCTTATAAAGTATAAGCGTATTACAAGGTAAACTTCCTTTAGATCGATTATATCGATATCATTGGAATGTTTAATCGGTTGAGTAATCGATTAAACGTATAAGAGACTTCCTGGATTACGATTTCTAGGTGATCGAAGCATCTATATAGTACTCGAGCTCTCGTACGACGCGCGAAGCGTGCGTGAAAATTTAGTATGATATTAAATATAATTATTGCTGGTATGCATGCAATCTGTGGCTGTTTTGAAAGCGAAAAAATTCCAAAAATATTTACGTTAATGAAAAATTTTAATCTGAAAAAAAAAAATAATATTGTACGAAAAATCTATATCTATTACCAATTATTAATGTTTATTTGAATTAAGTGCACGTGCAATGTTCTTGTAAATTGATTTAGGTTCGAAACGTAATAGCTTTATAAGTACATTGTATCATTAATGTGTAAGGGCGAGAAGAAAGCTCGCGGGATTCGGGAGCATTAGATAATTTTTCGACGTTTATGCCCTGCGAAAAAAAAAAAAAAAGAAGAAAATGTGTTGAGCGCTCCTGAACACCCGCGAGCGTTGAATTGTTGAATGATGATGAAACCATGATTTTTTTTACGATTAATTTAAGAGCGATATACGATTATTTAGGGAAAAATATTTGCCATTAGCTCATAAAAAACAAAAAAATTGAATGATACATTTCATGATGCTTGCGTGTCCACGGCACGCACGCGTAAAGAAATCTCCGAGATATACGTGTTACGAAACGAAATGACATATACTTTATTCATTATTTACAAAAAAAAATTTCATATGTACATTTTACATACTCTGTAAGGATTTATATGCAATATTTATGTCTAGTCATTTGCGGGTAAATATTGTACGTTTTCAAATATTTACTTTCTCAATGATCAATGGAATATCTGTGCAAGTGTTATAAGTAATAAAAGAAAAAAAAAAACAAAAGAACACGAGTTACAAACATTCAATCGCTCGACTATCATCCTTTATCCTGCCGCCTCCTCGCGAGCAGCCCGATAAAAATCGCTGCTCTCCACCACGCGTCGCAGCCATCGCAGATCCGGATCGCCGAGCAAGGGCCGTAATCGCCGGAAGAATCCCGCCGACATCCGCGCGAGCAGGTGCGCGAGAAATATCGCTGGTCGCGCCCCGTCCTGCGCCGCGAGATCGAACTTGCAGAACTGCGCGTGCGTGACGAGTCTCGCCGCGGCCTCCAATCCCAGGCCGGTCAGATCGCCGAGCGACAGGCACGGGGTCAGCATGCACTTGGCGGCCTTTCGCGCCAACTCGGGGTCGCGCGCAACTGCCTCGGGCCAATCGTCCGCGAGACCGCGCATCCATACGCGGAACAGTCCCTGCTCGCGGAAGAATTCCACGATCGTCAGGAGGTCGTCAAGGTGGTCCAGCTGGTAGCCGCTGCTTTCGAGCTGCTCGACGCAGGCCAGAGCGCTCGAGGTCAGTCTCAGGGTGGTCACGATTCTCTCAACCACGAAACGATGACCGTACTCCTCATCGTACGACGGCGGCTCGAACGTCTTGGCGAAGTAAGCCTCGGTGGGAAAGATAAAGCTCGCGAGATCGGCACCGCGGCTCAGCAGCGTGCGCACGCAGTTCGGCTTGAGTGTGGCCACCGCGAGCTGGAGGGCCGTCCGACCCGATCCGTCCCGGGCGTCGATCTGTAGCGGCTCGTCGTCGCTCAGCTCCTCGGTGACCCTGAAGAACTTATCCAGCATACGATCGTCGTCCCAGTGGTATCCCTCCGCCGTCCTCCCGCAGAGCAAGTGAAGCGGGGTCGAGTCCGCGCCGTCGCGCGCCTCGGCGTCGGCGCCTCGTCTCAGCAGCAGCTCGATCGTCCTCTCGTCCGCGGCCAAGCTCGCGGCCGAGTGCAGCGGCGTCCGGCCCGCGTTGTCCCGGGCGTCGATCGCCAGCTCGATCGCAGTCTCGTCGCAGGCCTCGAGGAACGCCCGCAACGCGTCGCAGCCCAGCGCTGCCTCGCACATGCGGTGCAGAGGTAGCCTGCCTGCCCCGTCGGCCTGATTCGGATCGGCTCCGTATCGCAGCAGCGTCAGCACCGTCGCCTTCCACTTCGACGGGTCCGCCGCCGTCGTATCGACTCGGCAGCCGATTACGAGCCTGTGCAGAGGAGTCTCGCCTCGCGTCTCGCTCGCGGCGTTCGGATCGGCGCCCAGCTCCAGCAGCAGCTCGACCGACTCGGCGTCGGCCCGCTCGGCCGCCAAGTGCAGCGGCGTGTTGCTCGGCGGCTTGTCCCAGGCGCGCACTTGTCCCAGGACCATCTGACCAGGGCAGATCTTCAAGAACCACAGCAGCCGCTCGTGATCCAGCGTCTCGCAGACGATGTGCAGAGGAGTCCGGCCGTCCAGACCGCGGGCCAGACTCGGGTCGGCACCGTGCCGGAGCAGCGCCTCGGCGATCTTCAGGTTGCCGTTTTCCACGGCGTGGTGGAACGCTGTCTCGCCCCGCTCTTGGTCCAGGGCATCGACCTCGACCTCTAGCCCGTACCTGCGGCACGTCTCGAACAATAGCTCCACCTTCTTGGGCTCGTCGTCCAACGTCATGGCGACGTGGTGCAGCAGCGCGTAGCCACCCTCGTTGAACAGATTCGGCTCGGCGCCGTGCAGCAGCAGCAGCTCGACCGTGCGCCAGTGGCCGTGGTACATGGCCGTCTGCAGATGCGTCCATCTCGTGTCCGGATCGAGGCCGAGATCGGGATCCACCCGGCCCAGCACGAGGAATTTCTCGACGCAGTCGTCGAGGCCGAACTCACAGGCAGCGCGGAAATGACTCCAGCCCCGCATCGGGTCGACGTAGTTCACGTCGAATCTGTCGTAGATCAGAAACAGATCGCGGAACAGTTGCCGATCGGTGTCCGTGTGGCTGTCGTAGCTGTAGCGAGCCTCGTCCACCCGATGCAGCGCCGTGCGGCGACGCTCGATCGGCCGCCCTGTGGCCTCGTCCAGGGGCGGCTCGTCCCTGTAGCCGCTCGCGGCCAAGAAGCGGATTATCGCGGCTCCGTCGGGCCTGAACTTCTTATTCGCGCTCATGTCCTCGGCGACGCTCGTGAGAATGAAATCGATGTCCTCCCTGCGCCAGAAGTCCAGCAGATCGGGAATCGCCAGGCTCGTCCAGTTCAGCAGCGTGGAGTAAATTTTCGACATCGCCTCGCCGTCCAAATTATCCTCGATCAGCTGGTCGCCCAACGACGGTACGACCGAAACCTCGACGATCGGCTCGTGAATTATCTCGGGGTTTTCCGAGGGCTGCTCCTCGCGTAAATCGATCGACGCGGCGGCCATGGTGTTTCGTTATAACACGCGATACTACCAACGCGATCGCTTTCGTCCGAGAGATGATCGCCACTACTGTTCGCTGAGATCGAGTACCGATTGTAATGTGACGCGTGTTTGTTTTTGTTGTACCGAGTCTAGTCGGGCGAGAAAATTGCCGTATGACACGGGAAATACACGAATTGAATCGAAATATTTACAGAGGTTGTTTACAAATGCTGTAGAAAATAAAACAGCAAACAATTATCTTTTAACGAGCATTTGTAAGTTTCCCCGTGGCACTCCGTACAGGCAAACATTATTAAATTTTTTTTATAAATTATAATACTTTCCAGTGGACTCTGTTAGAAAGTCAAAAACATTCCTGGACAAAATCGTTGCCGAATTAAAATTTTAAATTGGTTCAAATATGGACAATGTGTAAATAGATAAATCTGTGATTTAATTCTAAATAACAGGATTATGAACAATTGAATTTCGACAACTGATGATATTTATAATAAAAACAAATTAGTTCCGAAATCGTCTTTCTCGATGAAACAAGTCATAACACCAAAAGATAAATTTTACTAGTTCAAGTCGTGGTACTAAATAGAAACATTCATAGTTCAATTTAGGCCACAAAATGGATAAAAGCGAGAAAAAGTCCGAAGGAGATGTCTCGGAAAATAATTTAAGTAAACTCGACATTGTCGTTTTTGACGACAAACAATACGTTTGTGATATTGGTCGGAAGGCATTTACCCTAGAATCGAGCTTGATAACACACCGAGACACGATTCACAGTGAACAAAAAAATTATGCATGCAACAAGTGCGAAGAAAAATTTGAGTTCCGAAGTCATTTGAGTAGACACCAAATATCAGAACACAAAGGCAATAAAGATTTTGCGTGCAACGAGTGTGAGAAAAATTTTGTACAAAAATCAAGTTTATTCACACACCAAAAATTGGTACACAAAGATCGTGATTTCACGTGCAACAAGTGCGAAAGGAAATTTGAGAATAAATCAACTTTACTAAAGCACAATAAGATATTTCACGAAGTTTTAAAAAATTACTTATGTGAAATATGCGCCAAGAGATTTGAAAATAAACGGAGTTTAATTACGCATGTGAAGACAATACACGATGGTCACAAAGACTACCAATATAATAAATGCAGGAAAAAATTTGGAATAAAATCAGTTTTGTTAAATCACCAAAAGACAATACACAAACATCAGAATGATTTTGCTTTGAATGTCTACAAAGATTACTCATGCGACACGTGCAAGAAAGTGTTTCGACGGCAATCGAACTTACTTGTGCACCAAAAAACAGTGCATGAAGGTCATAAAGATTACGAATGCGACAAATGTGACAAGAAATTTGGACAAAAACCGCATTTGCTTCTCCACCAAAGAACAGTCCACGAAAGTCGTAAAGATTACGCATGCGATAATTGTGAGAAGAAATTTGGACTAAAATCGAATTTGTTTATGCATCGACAAACCGTTCATGAAGGTCGCAAAAATTTCGCATGTGACTGGTGCGAGAAGAAATTTGGACGAAAAGAGCATTTGATCAAACACCAAAAAGTAGTTCATGAAGGCTGCAAAGATTATGGATGCGACAAATGCGAGAAGAAATTTGGACAAAAACCGCATTTGCTTGTCCACCAAAGAACAGTGCACGAAGGTCGCAAAGATTACGGATGCGACAAGTGCGAAAAGAAATTTACACAAAAACCGAGTTTGCTCAAACACCAAAAAACCATACACGAAGGTCGCAAGGATTTTCAATGCGATAACTGCAAGAAGAAATTTGGAAGTAATTCAGATTTATTAAAGCACCAAAGGATAGTCCACGAGGGTCGTAAAGATTTTCAATGCTATAACTGCAAGAAGAAATTTGGAAGTAAATCAGATTTGTTAAAGCACCAAAATTCAGTCCACGAGGGTCGCAAAGATTTGAATCAAAACCGAATAATCGTCCATGAAAGTAGCAAAGATTTCGCATGTGACAAGTGTGAACGAAAATTTACGCAAAAATCGAATTTGCTCTCCCACCAAAGGGTAGTGCACGATGGTATGAGAAATTACTTATGCCACAGTTGCAAAAAGAAATTTGGAAAAGCATATGATTTGTTAAAGCACCAAAGGACTATACACGAAGGTCGAAAAGATTATCCATGCGACAAATGTGAGAAGAAATTTGGGGATAAAGGCAATTTAAGAAGACACCAAAAAAACGTACATAAAAGTCGCTAAGATAATAATTTATATAATTAATAATTTAAATTTTGTAGAACAACGGAAAACAGTCTACAAAATTCACAAAAACTACCTATTGGAAAATTCTTGAACTTTGTTAAGATGACGTAAGTTGAATACGATTTTTTTTCATTACCGAAAATCTACGGGCTATTGCATTAAATTCCACGTCAAATGATAATCCAGTCTCTGTGAAAAATTTGTATCTTATTCAAATTTCCCTAACTCATTGCCGTGTATGCTTGGAATAGATACTCAGAAAATATCGAAATAATAAAAAACGCCGTTTCTTTTATTAACAATTGTAACTATATATAGAAACTTATTAGATGTTCAAGTACAATTTTAATAAAATTACAATAAACAATGTGCCATAATAATTGAGC